CAGGTTAATTTATTATTTCAACTCAAATGTAAAATGAATTCATTTTCAGTGAAAAAGCCCATTTTATTTTTATTTATTTTTTTAAAATTGATGATTTTGCGATGACGATTAGCGGCTTCTGAATTTTTTACGAGCCATGAAGTCTAGACTGAACAAATAATGTGCAAATAATTATAATTTATTTTTAATCACACCTTAACTAATTAGACGCCTGTTTGCTTATATTATAGCTCATATGAAGGTAACCATAGACACCACTAAATGGAACCAAAGGTAACTCAATATTATTATATATAGATATAGACACCACTAAATGGAACCAAAGGTAACTCAATATTATATTTTTAAATAACCTAATGATATTTTTTAAAAACACAATCTTTTAAAAAACACATTGTTTTTTAAATTACATTACCATTTTTAAAAACATAGCACATCCTTCAAAGCACTATTGAAATATTTACCCATAACAGCATAACATATGGCACAACTATTCCTTTAGGGGAACTAAATTAATATCTGTCTGTTACACACTTCTGTGTAAATAAAGATAACAGAATGTCATTCTCTGTAACCTTTGCACCCACACCGCCATCAGCGCCAACAGTTGCTGTTGAGCCTGCAACCTGCTGTTGTCGCATCAAACATCCCGCACACCATCCGCACTGGAAGCGTTCATTTCCACCCCTACATAGCGGAGGCTGTAAACTCACAATGAACGCTTCTCACGCACTGTTGAGTTAACAGTGACCTCATCGCTTACGCTCTGTTCGACTCGATTCGGCTCGGGCCCGGACTCGGCTGGGGCTCGGCTCATGTTATGCCCGAAGATGTGAAAGGATATTCTTCACCAATTGCTGTGTTAAATGGCATCGTGCTGGAAGCTTTAAAATTGCATTCAATGAACAAAAGTTACAGCGCTTTAAACATATGAACTTTTTTCTTTTTTTTTGTGGAAATTGTCGCTGACAATGTCAACTCACACACACAAACACACTCACAAACGCATATGCATATGGATATGCCCTCATCCATCCATCCATACATACATATGTGTGTTGGTTGGTTATGTTGATGACGGCAACGGATAAGTTAATGTACAATCTCTGTTCATTTTAAAAGCATGAATCCTTGTTGTTTTTACGCGTAACATCAGTTCGTCGGTTCGCAATGCAACGGAAGGAAGAATTGAGTGATGCCGCCCCCCCCACCCCCCAGCACATCCACCTTCACCCGCATCTCCAATCCCCAATCCACAGCCCCGCCCTCATCCCTTTCTGTTCTGTTTACATGCTTTAGCAGCCGTGACATTTAAGACGATGCATTTGCATAAAGCGCCGCTGACAACGCTGCCGCCCTCATACTTGTTAACGGACAGCGGCATTTTTACATGCACACATTAAACTCACACACACACACACACACACACACACGGATCCGCACAAAGACTCATACATACATGCATGCACACATGCAGGCGAATGTGCTTTGCCCTTTTTCGCCATTCCACTTGCCTCTGTATCGGATGTCAATGTATTAATGCAAGTGTGTGCAACTATGTATGAGGAGTTACAACTGTCTGCGCTAAAGTATATCCTTCAGTATGTTAATTTCGCCACTTCCTTTACCTGCTGAGGAAGCGTACAAGCATATTTAAGCTTTTATTGCAATTGTGTTTGTATCTGGGAAAAAACTATCAATTGAAATGTTCACCTCCCCCCTCAAAGCAATAAATTTTTATTCAGTTTCCACAACATAATCACACTACCTACTGATACAAGAACCTCTATAATATAATAATAAAAATGAATCGCTGAATGTGTTGCTAAGCGCAAATCTCTAGAGCAGCTCAACCAATTTTGCTAATTCTTTTTTTATAATATGTATTCCTTGAAGTACAAGAATGGTTCTGGAGAGAAAAATTTTCAAAAATTATCTGAAAAATTGTCTGCCAAGCCAATAATGTAACCAAAGGTGTAAAAAATAACGTTAAAAATTGCTGAACAGTATGCTGTTAGTTCAGAATCATCGTAAAAGCAAAAAAATGTTTATATAAAATTATAAAAAAAATGATAAAAATGCCTCCAATAAGGCGGCGGAGAAATTTAGGCAGAAGAACCCGAACTGCAACAAATCAAATTAATTATCAATCTAATCGTACTGCCCAGTAATGTGAAAGAATTCTGCTAAGACAGACCCGCGAAGTGAGACATTCGACTAATAATGATGCAAATTTGAATCAATTTAATTTTTAAAAAACATGAAATATGGTTTACAGAGCACCTCTTTTTAGTAACTCATAAGAAAAGGAAGGCTGTATGTGTGTGTGTTATAAAATTTATAAACTTGTAAATTTTGTAAATTTTTTAAAATACCCGTGTGAAGTAGGGGCGGGAAGCTAGTAACTTATAAATTAGAGCACTAATTACTAAATAATAGGTATACTTTAATAATGGAAAAACTTTAACTTTGATTTAACAGGAAGAAATATCAAATGAAATCATTTTTTTGGGGATTGCTTTTTTTTTTAATTATTCAACTTTAATATACAGAGTATTGATTATACTCAATGGCGTACGCAGGGGGAGGCCTAAAAAATGGAACTGGGTTGCATAAATTATTTTTTAAATGCATCGTGCCTTATTTAATCAAAATGTTGCTTTTTTAGTCCCCCTCTTTGGTAAAAGCTGCGTACGCCCTTGGTTATACTGATTCTTGCTAGATCCTAATAGGTCAGTAGATAGGATGTGTGTGTCCAGCGTCAAGTATGGGTTGTGCGCCAGAAGTGACGTCATCACATCAAAGAGGTATTTTATCTGAGGCTGGAAAGCGGGTGTTACATTTTTCCAAGCCATATCGGAGACTACGATTAGATAATTAAACGAACGGCGGTACAGAAAATCCCCTATAGTTGTGGGAGGGGGAGGGGGTATATCAAAAAATACAACAAACTAGAAAATGGCAATTTTAAATTTTTTTAAAGTATTTATTTATTCATCAACATCCATTTTGTGCCCTTTAAAGTAATCCCCCTCAAATATAATGCATTAGGCATAAAGCCGGCGCAAATCCTTCACCTTTCCTTTAAAACAAACCTCATATAAGACATCTTTGTGCGAAATTGTTGTCTCTACCTCTTATAGTCACTGCGACAGACAGAGAGATAGACAGGGCTGATCAAAAATATTATATATCAAATTATTACATACATGCGCACAAAACAAATACATACATATTTTTTTACCCTTTGGGTAAACAATGTGTATGGACAAAATTGTCGTCGAAAGTCGCAATCGTCGTCGCAGCCGCAGCATCACTTATGAGCTGAAAATTGACTACAAAACAGTTTTAAACCAAAAAAAAAAAAAAAAACTAGATTTAATAGCTTGATGTATGGAAGCAACACAAATTATCGCAATATTGTTAATACAACTTACTAATTATATATGTAAATTAAATTTGTTTTATGCTCAGTTTTTTTCATTTATAGATTTTAAACAATTTTTTGTTTATTTGTTTTAATTATCAATTTCATCGTTTGCAACTGTAAATTAAATTCAAATATATTCTTAAAATAGCAAATCATAAAGTAAAGGTATGTTCTTTGTTCTTTGTATTGTGTTGCTTGCGTTTAAATAGTTTTTACTGTTATCTCTGCAAGTTGATCTCATAATTAAAATTATTGATTTTGTGTCAGCGTTTGAAATAAAATAGTTGACCTCCTTTCGGTTATGTGTTACACCGAGCTCATTGAAATAAACGGAATATTTTTGAATTTCTCCCACTTCAAATGCCAGACCATGGCTCGTACTTGTATGTGTGTATGAATTGTTTTCAAAAATATAGTATGTTAAATATTTATAAAATCAATTTAGTATTTAAACGAGCTCAAAAGTGCGTTTGTGTCGAAGCTATACTATATTGACTGTGTATTCCAACAAAACTTTGTGCCATCATGGTCTTGTCTTTGGCTTCCTTATCTTTTGAAATTAACAAGTTTTCATAAAAAAAACTATTGTTAATTCATTTTCTTGCTATGATTTAGTTCTCTAAAATGATCTACCTCTGTGTTCTTCAAGAGGATGTATCGAGGAGGTGTAGAGGAGTGTTTGGAACAGACAGGCGAATGGACGAGAGGATACGCGGATGTCGTGATTTGGATTCGTCTCGTCAGCCCTGTAATATGTGGACCATTCTTCCCTCTGGTTGTTGCACACCAAAAACAATTTTTTTACGTTTATAAAATGAAAACTGGTTAAAAGGAGAATATCCGTTCAGTCAAATTGATTCAGCCAGATCCTGATGTATTAACACAGCATATATTTTAAAGCTCTCCAGCTCAACACGCATTATTAGTTTAAAGTGAAACTTTTGAGCTTTTGGGCAGCAGAAATTATTTACCAAATTTTGTTCACAGACAAATTCAGGACACAACCAAAGTCAACAAGCTACATATTGCAATAAAATGTCATTCAATAAATACGTAATAGAACTATGAAGAAAGCCTATTGAAAATAACGATTACATATTTGTGCATTTATTTAAAAAATAAAATCAACAGAGAGTTTAAAACAATAAGCCAACAGGACTCTTCAACCTTAGGTAAATATTAAAAACGATTGTACATTGTTCAAGAAATGTATAAAAAGGAAAATTTAAAAAGGCTGCTATGTAAATAGTTACGTGGAGCAATTTAGAGAAAATCTTATGATTATTGAACTAAAATTGTTAAATAACATCAAAGGTTTGTATCAAAACAAACAGGCCTGTCAAATATGAAAAATATTAAAATGAATTTTTTAAATAAAAATATAGATTGAAAAATCTTCTCTAACACTGACTGCTAGGCGCTGAGGCTTATAGAATGGGCAAGAAATGCTGGAGCAGAGGATGAGGGGGAGAATACACTGCTCCATCCAAATAGGAAAACTCTTTGTGGCCTCCTTTAGTACTTATATCGTTACACCCATAACATGCATGCCATATGCTCACTACATAAATATAAGTATATATGTATATGCTTTATTTAAAATATTCTTATGAAAAATGAAGAAAACTGTAAGTGGAAAATAGTATAGAGTAGCAGTGTATCAGCGTTTAGAATCTAATGAACACTTTCGTATAGAGTGGTGTGAGAGTGTACAAGTAGGGTATAGAGGATTTCATGAAAGTTTTTCGGTATCGTCCTTCGCATCTTCGGAAGTGGAAGTGGCAGGTGCCACAATTTCGCTTTCGCTTGTCTGTTGCTGCTGGGGCTCCTCCTCCTCCTCCTCCGCTGCGGGAGCTGTGGGAAACGGCAAGGCCCGCAATCGATGCACCATGTCCTCGAGAGATTCGGACACGACAGGCTCCTTCTTTTCCGTCTCCCGCTCTTCCTTCGAGAGGGTGCGCTTTCGAGTGGCATCATCTTGTCGTGTTGCTGCGCAGAGTTGCAGAGTTGGCCTGTGCTTGGGTATGGCGCCAGTCGATTGTTGAGCGGCCAATTGCGAGGATGTTGTGGTGACGGTTACACAACAGGCAGCAGCTCCCTCGTCGTCCACACCATCGTCGCCCACAATTCTGCTGCTGGCTATGCTGTTCAAATCTCCTGTGGTGGCCTCATCCTCTTCCACAGCCTGCTCCAGAACCTCCGCTTCCTGCCGACGATTTGCCTCACGCTCGGCAATGCGATTGATCATGGCCGTGCCCCGCTCGGAGGTGTTGCTGAGACGCGCTATTAGTTCGTTGCCCTGGACCTCGAGCAAGCGCAAGCGCTCCGCCCGATTGGCCGAGACACGTTCAATGTCCTCCAAACGCTGTTCCACGCTGTTTTGTGAGATGCCTGGCGCCGCCCTAGAAGTTGTGGGCAACGCAGCTCTGTCTTGGTCGTGGCGTTCGTGCAACGTGTCCAGTTTGTTGGCTATTGTGTCGCTGCGTTGCGCATTGCGAGAGAGTTGCGAGAGCAATTGTTGGCTCTCCTGCTCCAGACGTTGGATGCGTGCCGCTCGACGTGCCGTGTAGGCTTCTTCTTCAGCTGTGAGGGGGCTGTTTGTTTGGTCAGCCCCCTTCTTGGTTTCCTCGATCTTCTTGGGCTCATCCTCGGCATTGCTTTCCAGACTGCCCTCACGACTGGGTGCGCGTCTGATGCGGTCCAGCGATTTCTTGAGATAATGTCCACGATCTGTGGTGCGTTTAATGCGCGACATCAGCTGCCGGGATTCCTCCTCCAAGCGTCCCAGGCGTTCGGAACGCTTGCGCGTATATTCCTCCTCTCTAGGCGTCAATGTGCCAGTGGCTGGCGCCGAACTGGCTCGCGTCATGCGCTCAATACGCTTGCGGTTGATGAACTCGTCGAGTGGCACTGCATGCTGGACGGGCGCAATCTCGTCCTGAAAGCGACACAGTTGTATCTCAAGCCGTTCGCGATTGCCGGAAGTTTCCAGCACCTGTTGTATAAGCGACTTGCACTGCTCCTCCAGCTTCTGTATTCTGCTGGTGCGACCGCTCACCTCAACTGGTGAGTCAGCTGAAGAGCTGGAAGCTGCCTCGCTTGGCTGTGGCTTGCCACGCTGCTTGCTACGCGAGCTGTGCGTCGACTTGACCAAACTGCTGGCCAACTCCTCGCTAACCTCAGTGTCTGCATCGCCCTCGTCTTCATCGTCACCTTCGCGCCAGCCACAAGTTGGGGGCGCGCTGTTCCAGCGCAGCACAATCTCCTCGCCCTCGCCCTCGCCCTCGGCATTGGCCACAGCAGCCGCACGTCCTGGCGATGTGCTTTGCATGCGTTTTATGCGACGCGTATGTTCAAATTGGTCCCTCAAGTGCTTGCGACGGCAATTACTAACAGCGTCCTCTAGATTTCCCGCTTGGCTAGCGACCGCAACTGCCTCGCCATCAATAGCCTCGCTGGTGCCACCAGTCGCGGCATCCCCGACCTTCTCGGCGGGCAGCTCCTCGTCGGACTGCGGCCCCGAATCACTGTAGCCGCTCTCGGCCGAGTGATTGGCATCCTCTAGCTTGCGTCTGGCAAACTCACGACGTAAATCATCGCACTGCTCCTGACTCTCATCGTTCAGTGCCCGTGCGGCTGCCCACTTGCGACGACAGTACTCGAGTTCGTCCTTCAGCTCACTGAGCAGGCGACGCTTCTGCTGCAGCTGGTAGCGCAGGATTTGCTCCTGTGTGTGCAGCTGGCGGTGTTGACGCTGCATTTTTCCCACCAGATGCCACGTTTTTGTCAGCTCCAAGCTAACAGCACTCAAGCGCTTCTCCTGCTCGTTCAGCCTATAGTCGAGATGGCAGTTGAGCGTTTTCAGTCGATTAGTTTCCTTCACCAGCGACTTTTTCTCCAATATGAGATCCTGGTAGAGAAAGCACAAAAAAAACTGTTTAGCTTTTTGTTTGGTTTACTAAATGTTCCCGTTCTCATAAAATCTTATGATTTAAATGGAAAATTTAATGGTTTATAATCAAACTCCACTGAATCCAAAATAAGCGATCGAAATATTTAATCGAGGAGGAGGACAATACTATGATTGATAGATAGATAGAACATATATTTATATACCATTTGCAAGTTATTTCTCGGTCGAATTAGTTCTAACTAATTTCTGCGAGGGCGTATTTGCAATCTATACTGTCTGATTTATGTTATATATTTATCTATTTAGCTTTTTATTTAATTTTCTATTTGTATTTTTGTAAATTTTTGAATTTTTTATTATCTTATTATATATTTATTAATTTATCGATTTATATATATATTTATTTATTTTTTTTATCTTTTAATTTCTTTCTTTATTACTTATCTTATTCTCTTTTTATTTAATTATTTATTTTATTTTTGTATCTCATTACTTGCATTTTTTTTAATCTATTTATATATTTATTTATCTATATATTTATTTATTTATTTATTTATCTATTTATCTATTTATCTCTTGATCTATATATTTATTTATCTGTTTTTCTATTCATTTAATTATCTTATTCTCTTATTTTTATTTTTGGATTTAATTTGTTGAATTTTTTATTATCTAATTATATATTTATTTATTTATGTGTTTATCTATTCATCTACTTATCATATTCTCTATTTATTGAACTTTCTATATTTATTTTTGTATCTAATTATTTCAATTTTTTATAATCTAATAATATATTTATTTATTTATCTAATTACATATTTATTTATTTATCTATTTATTTATTTATCTGTTTATCTATTCATCTAATTATCATATTCTCTTCTTATTTAATTTTCTATTTTTATTTTTGTATTTAAATATTTGCATTTTTTATAATCTAATTATATAATTATCTATTTATTTATTTATTTATCTGTTTATATATTCATAAAATTATCCTTTTTTCTTTTTATTTAATTTTCTATTTTTATTTTTGTGTATTTTGTATTTTTTATAATCTAATTATTTATTTATTTATTTATTTACTTATCTGTTTATCTATTCATTTAATTATCTAATTCTCTTTTTATTGAATTTTCTTTTATCATCTTTGTATCTAATTATTTGAATTTGTTATGATCTAATTATATATTTATTTATATATATATTTATTTATTTATCTGTTTATCTATTCATCTAATTATCTTACTCCCTATTTATTGAACTTTCTATTTTTATTTTTGTATCTAATTATTTGAATTTTGTATAATCTAATCATTTATTTATTTATTTATACGTTTATCTATGCATCTAATTATTCTATTCTCTAATTGTATTTTTTATGTATCTATTCATCAATTTATCTTTATTTATAAATTAATGCACATACAAGTATGTATTTCTCTATGGTGTCTTTATCTATTCCATTAAATACATGATCCTTTCAGCTTGAGGGTTATAATTGTAGTGTCCAAACTTTTTATAAACATGGTCTTAGCTTCTCGTCGACCCTTAATATTCTGACCCAATATTTTGGCTAAGCTGTTGACTAAATAAACTCAATTAAATGGGTAGCGTCGGCTGCCAACCACAACAGTAATAACAAAAGCAACAACTGGTCTTCGGATTCAGCTACAAAAGTGGGCCAGCAAAGTAATTGTTTTTGCTGTTATTTGTGCAGTTGCTGTTGTTGTTTTCACTGTGCCGGCTGTCGCAGTAGATGTCAAGAATAATGAAGCTCGGCCTGCACTTTACTCTAAATAAAACGCTTAAGTGAATAATGCAAAACTTTGCAACCATCGGGCTACAGCTACAGACAGTCCACCCGCCCCCACAAAGCACGTGCCCAACTATTGGAAACTTCTGGCCACAGGATAGAGTAGCCAACAACAACAACAACACGAAGAAAACAAACAAGGATTGGGGATGGGCATGGGGCTGGGGAGAGGGGAGAGTGGAGGAGAGGAGAGGAGGAGTCAGTTGGTTGCAAGTGTTGCCACGGCAGCACTTCATCAGAAAACCGGATGCGACAACTAACAAGCCCGATTGTCTGCAGCACTTCAAGTGCAGTTGCAATGGCAGTTCCTCTCCCTCTCCGTCTCTCTCTGCCTCCCTCTCTCCCCCATGCCCCCTGCCCCTGCCCCTGCCTCAGCCACTCACCTTCAGCTTGATGTAGGTCTTCGATACGCTCAGCTCTGGCGTTTTGCTGTTGGTCGCCTTTTGAACATCCGCCGTAGCTGGCAGCTCTTCAAACTGCACCCGCTCGATTTTGTGGTGGCTCAAGAGCTCCATCAACACTTTCCAAACTTTTGGCAAGTTGCCAATGATTTCTTGTGCTGTTGCAACTTTACCCATAATTTCGGGCTCATGGCTTTTTAACGAAACCGCAGCAGCTCCGCTACGCCTTCTATGTTTTTTAATGCCGCCAATGTTGCTGCTGCTGCTTGTCCTGGCACAGCCAGCAAAGTCGGTAATGTCCTCGCTGGCGATAACTGCAGCACTAGAAGCCGAATCAGAAACAGAGCCCGAGCCCGAGCTCGAGCCACAGCCAGAGGGCATGCCAACCTTTCCAGCATCAGCTGCCACAGTATCACCTGTCGCCGATGCATTTGACTCCTCCGGAGATATATTTGGCATTGAAGTTGGCATTGGCGTTGGCGTCGGCGTCACACTGCGACTCTTGTCCTTTGCCTCCGACATGGCTGCCTGTTCGACCAGTTCGAATAGTAATTTCGGCAATGTGGCACCATCACTGCAACTGCCCTCCGCCTGCGTCATTTCATTCAGCAAATCTCGATTTTCCTCAAGCATTTTTGTCAAGCGATCAATGTCCAGATTGTTTTTGCCATTGAAGCCCATTACCATCTGACTGAAGAGCTGCAAGCGCACAAACAAATATTGCAAGATATAGAACATGAAAATTAGATAGATAAGGGAACTAACTCTACAAATGCATAGTGGGACAGGCTTAGGTAACAGCATTTCAGCATTTCAAATTAGTTCAGTCTGCAACGGAAAGGTCAAAAGAATTATGAAACTCTTCTATTGAAAGACACAAAGTTTATCGATCTGTTCTAAAGTTCTAGCTGTTTCTAAGCACTTTTCCGATTACATTTATGATTATAGTTAAATAAAAAAATTGTCTGTGCTAATTCGAATTACTTATTGATTAAATTTTCTGGACTAACAAAAGATCCTTACAATACAACTGCTTGAACTGACCTCTACTTGATCTCGTTATACTCCAAATAATGGGGGCGGTTCGGTTAAAAGATCGTACTAAAAGAATAGCAGATGGTGAGTCTTACAGGCGAAGTGCTTTCCTCCTCACCTTCCACCTGCTACAGAAGTCGTTAAAAAGAAGCCCTTGCTGTTATAAAACACTTTCCCTCATACTAGCACGGGTCGAATATATATAATACTTAGGCGGGTCTCATATGAATCCAAATTTATGTAGATATGTATATACTTTATGTTTTATTTCGGCACATATTTTTGTTTCCACCAAAGAACAGTACATCTAATTCTGTTTTTACACGATTATGATATAACACGGTTTTAAAAATTAACAAGAGAGAACGCTACAGTCGAGCAAGCCCGACAGTGTAATACCCTGTACCCAGGTAAACTTCCGTCAAAAGAGGAAGAAGAAGAGCGAACTTGTTGCTGCAGTTTGGGGAGGTTGTACTGGCGAGAATTTGTTTCGCTAATAACTTTTCTTAGAATTGACCGAATTGAATAAATGAATGAATTGAATGAACAACAGTAGACAATTATATATAAATTATGTGTGCAAAGTTTGGTTTAGGTAGCATTTGAAATGTGGACGCTATTAACGAAATTCTGTAGCGGGGGAAAATTCCAAAAAATAAAATAAACTCGTCCTTACTCGGATCTAGGAGAATCTGGATGCCAACTTTGGTTATTCTAGTTTTTATAGTTTCTGAGATCCTCGCGTTCATCCAGACGGACGGACAGACGGACGGACAGACGGACGGACAGACGGACGGACATGTAGGGATCGATTTCTCTCGTCATGCTGATTCAGAATATATATACTTTATGGGGTCGGTCCTTCTGCATGTTACATACTTTGCACAAACCTAATATACCCTTTTTACCCTACGGGTACAGGGTATAAAAATTGCATATGTATTTCTCTAGAGACAAGGAAGCAATCACCTATTTTTGCATATGATTAATGTCTTTTTTTAAACGGTTGTGTCTGGAACCAATCTATCGTGTAAAAACAGAATTAGCTGCATTTGGAATTGATTTATTGATTCGTTTTGTAAAGTTAAATAATCATAAATTGACAAGCAACATTTTGATTGAATCGAGCCCACTATGCAGTTGCATGTAAGCACAAAACTGAGTACCACACTGCGTATGCACAATTTTTGATTTTGATTTTTTGTTTGCTTACGTTTTTCATCATTTGATGCTGCCTGTGTATAAAATGTTTGTGAAACAATTTTCAAGTTTACTTTGCACTTGAAATGCGTTTCCTAGCAACGCCAATAGCAGAAGCTAAAGCAGAAACAGCCGCACTTACAACAACAACAACAACAAACAACTACAGACAAGTTCTGTTTGCTTCAGTTTTTCGAGCTTGAGAGTCGAGTGCGCTTGTAGGTACTCGCATTTTAGCTTACCATGTTCACAGCCCCCATTTCCTCCTTGAGAGCCCGCTTCTCGAATTTGTGTTCACTGCATTCCTCCTTTAGCCTGGCCAACTCATTGTTGGCCCCTTCGACTTCCTTGAGCAGTGTTTGATTGCGTTCCTCTAAGTTTTTCGTTCTGCAACGCCAAACAAAAACAAACAACAACCAAAATGAAAATAAGAGAAAATGAAAACTCGAGCAACATGCATTGCTGTGAAGCCGAAAATAGGCTTGAAGGTGGAAATTTTAATCAATTGAGGTGGAGGCTGCCAGCCGACGCGTGTTTCAAATTTGAATTGATGGCACACGTGTGCGTGCCATATTTAGATTAATGCGTGTGTGTGTGTGTGTGTGCGTGTGTGTGTGTCGTTCACCAGCTGGCCATCATAAAAATAGCAAGCACAACAATAGCCATACACACAGGCTACACACACATACATACATACATATATACATATGTATTTACGTTTGACTTTTCAATAGCATTTTAATAATGCGCACTTCATGTGAAGCTTTTTGGCCGCACATTTTGCATTTTTTATTGATTTTAAAGTAGGAAATTTTAAGGATTTTCAGGTAATATAAATGGCCTATAAAATAATACATTAATATGTTTACACATTAAACAAATTATACTATAATTTAAAGTTCGTTATAAAAAGTGAATTTAAAATGTAATGCATTTTCAATAGGAAATTTGTTCTTGTGGCAAATAAAGAATGCTGCAAAGTTGCGTTTATAAAGTTAAAGGAGCTGATCAAATCTTGTTAAGGAGCACCTTTATAGGTTTTTTTTTAAGAATAAAAATAATCAAATGCCATGTATTAACTTACCAAATAGATTGTTATTATAATAGCATTTGAATACTCATTGTACTAGAGCTTCTTTTAAGAAACTCCATGCCACACTACTATATGGCAAGATAATCACTAATTTAAATGTTTATTTTAACACTTAATATCCTCTAGTTAATTTAAATAGCAAAAAGTTAGTTTAGCTATGAAAATAAATAAATATGAAACTAGCGCCTTGGGTTTAAATTAAAAATTTCAGAAAAGGTAAGTTAAAAGGTGATTCGTTTCAAAAGGACTAACTACAATAAAATTGAAAAAAATTACAAAGAAATGTAATTCTATATTTCGGCGAGATAATAAAGGTAAGTGGTAGTTTGCTTGTATATGTATTCACCTGCTAATTTCCCAACTGTATTTTATTATATAGTATTTATACTCCTAAGTTTATTTCTGTTCGGAAATTAAATGCATGTATGTATTACTGAAGGAACATAACAACCAGAAATGGTAATGCTTAGAAAAAAAATGAAATTCTCTAAATAAAAATATTGCTTTGAGACAAGTTTTAATCTCTAGCTCATTCACGAACAATAAACATTTGTAATATTGTTTTTTACTTCCAGCTGCAAATTAGTAAAGCATTTATACTTTCTCAGCTCACTTAAAATATTTAATTAATAGTTTGGAATCAAAAAACACTTGCTAATAAAAGCAAATAGCCGCCAACATTATTTTAATTGAAGAAATATTTTAGAAAGCAGTTATTTGCAATAATATTTCTGAAGAAGCTTGTTGCAGCAAAAAGGCTAGCAAGCAAGAGTGTGGTATTTTTTAATTAAAATGTAAAAGTGAATTTGGTTACAATGGGAAGGAAGCAAATTTAACACAATAATAATAATAATAGAAAAAGCAGGTAAGAAGAAGGAGATAATTCGCTTGTAAAGCGCTTGACAAATTTTGCTTCTGATGTAGTTATTTGATAATTAATGCAAGGAGTAGTCTGTAAAACCGTTGATTATTTTCAGGCTTTGGTTAATTCCATATGACTGCCTTTCATTAAGAGTTTAATTGAAAATACTTTACATTTAATGGCAAGTGAAATTGAAAATGCGAATTGGCGTACTCACTTTTCCTGCTCGGCAATCAGTTCGTCCTTTTTAATCGATATGAGCCGCTGTAGGTTTTCATATTCGGCGGCTGCCACACGCTGCCGTTCCTCATAGAGTTGGCGTAATTGCCGAATATTGACCAATTGACGTTCGTATTCCTGTCGCAGATTATTGGACATGATTTTCATTTCCCGCTCACTGAACGACGTTTCAATTTCCTGCAGCTTGTCCTTGAGCTGCACGAAGCAAAAGGAGGAATTTCACCGGAACTATCAAATATTAAATCAGTAAGTAACCTTACCTGAGTGCATTGCTCCTCCTTAACACTGAGCATCTGTTTGCAGCACGAGATGACCTCCTTCAAGGTGCCCACTTGCTTTTGCACGACGTCCAATTCACTTCGCAACGACAGATTATCGGCATTGGCCAATTGTAGTGCCAACTGCGCATTGGCGAGCTCAATATTGGCATGACGACTACGTTGTATGGGATTCTCATCATCGCTATCCATCGCAGCCTCTGCCTCAGCCTCAATCACATCCACATTGTTATCGGCATCATCATCATAATGGCGAGCGTCAGCATTAGAAGCATCTTCATCTCGATTTTCTGACTGTTCTGCCAGATTTTGACATTTTCGCAAGCGTTGCGCTTCTGCTTGGGACGTAGCCAGCTGTTTGCGCAAACTGTGCAGCTCTTCACGCAAATCCTGCACGGCGGTCTGACGTGCCAGCCGCCTGCCCCTCAACTCCTCCTTGAACTCCTCCAGTGTCTGCTCGCGGCAGACTGCACCCACATGGCTGTTGCTGCCGTTCTCTTGGCTCTCCATCTCAACAGTAGATGTTGTTGACGTGCCTTCGCTTTGATTTTCATTTGAGGTTAATGTGGTCATGCTCTCCTCTTTCTTTGGCAACATCAACGTCGTCGTCAACATCGACGTTGCCGGCACAGTTTCGCTTTCATTTTCATTGCGAGTCGAATAGGCCAAAACAGCCGACGGCAGCTGTTCCAAAATTAAGTTCTCGTGTTCGATCTCTTGCCACCATGGCTCGTCATTATTGCTGCTGCTGCTGTTGTTGTTGCTGTTGTTGTTGTTGCTATTGTTGTTGTTGCTGTTGCTTCCAGCTACACCCCCACCCTCTTGTGCTGCTGCACTCTGCGCTGCTTCGCCCGCACTGTGCGGGGAAGACTCGGCATTTCCCATATCTCTATAGTAAGGCTGATTCTACAGACGTCTTCGGGCAGTGCGTTGACTTTGTTAGTTGGCCAAAACGAACAAAGAACGTGATTGGTATGCCAAACGACCCTTTATTGCAGTTGGTGTTGTTTTCGTCGTTGTTGTTGTTGTTGTTGTTTACTCAATATTGTTGCTGCTTTTGTCGCTTTTCTTGTTTACTGCAGCTACGATCTGGCAATTCACGTTAATGCGACTTTTCTTTAAAATATTTGCTTTAAGAAAAGAGCACAGACAAAGAACCTCTGGCTGTTAAACGTTCACGATTCGCCTGATCTTAAACAAAACACAGAAAGACATACAACTTAGCCGCCTTATGCATAGATATTAACACATACATATATATTTATATACATATATACGTTCATACATACGAACAAAAAATGCTAGTATTTCTGCTTTTTTCAAACACGCGCGATTTCGCAATTTTATTAACTTTCTCGAATTTTTCACCTCTTTTTTCGGAGCATCAAATTTTATAAGCCGAAAGTTTTTTATGTTTCTTCTTCAAATCAAAATCTTTACTTCGTTTTATGCAATTCAAAGTTTCATCTATGGACATGTATATGTATATATACATATATATAAAGTATACATATATGTATTTATATGTGTGTACCTACAATTTAAATTTTCGAACTGTAGGCGAAACTTCTCGCTTGCGCTGCTCGTGTAAAACTGAGAGATTTTCTATTGAAACAAGCTATTTTTAAAAAGATCTGTAAGAATCGCTTTGCATCTGCCAGCAGTACTCTCTAGTTTTCTGTGAAAAATATTCGGATGCTCCCAATTGTTTTGCATCTCTTGGCAAGTGTGGTGAGCAGAATGCATGGACCGTAATCTTCTTAACAAAGAACCTTTTGCCGCACGAACCTTAAATACCTACACTGATGGTTCTATGTCAAATAATAATATATGGATTGATTTATTCAAGTTTAAATATTTTTTGAAAGCTGTTGTCTAAACATTCAAATATATGAAGAAGGCTTAAGCTTATAATCGACTGGTTTGGCTTAGATTTAGGACTTGCAAGTGAATAAAATTAGAAACTTGAAGGTTTTACGAAGCCTGTCCCGATATTTATGGAAATTGTTTCCGAGAAATTTGTTGACTGCTTCAAACGCTCTGCATTCCAATGAAACCACAGAGAATGTAGGACGCTCTCTCTTTCTGGTTTTAGTCATGTTTTCTATTTAATCTGTATAATAATAATGTCTTAGTTTTGACGAATTTTTTGAAGATATCTTAGAATTGAATAAATATTTTAAATTCATGCCCTGAAGACTCGAATGAAGTACCGATTTCTTTTGTTCTAAAACACAGTTCAAACAATCAATATTATTTATAGAACACCTATAGAGATTTAGCTCTTATCACGATGTATTTTATAGAGAGGAATTTCTTTACTAATAGACGGAGACAGAGAGGCAACGACGTTTTCTTCTACTTACTCAGAAGATACAAAACAAAGTCTTCATACGTATCAATCATCTGAGGAAAGTCATAATGCCATTCGTAAGGGCATAACAAATTCCTTAGCATTTGAATGAGTTGTTTGTAAATGCTAACAAAGTTTTTGCATCCTAACTAAGAAAATTCGTGTCACACCAAGTGATTTAAATTTAGCATAGCGCGTCATTTAATCAAAAACGTTGAGATATTGTTTGTCATTAGTCACGAGTGTAGTAAACAGAATTAAGACGAAATAGCAAATTTATGAAATTCTTTTCTATAATCGCTTGATTATATTCAATGCATTGTTTCCAGCTGTGTGTGCAGGTTAAGGGCAAAACTTTTCGCCCAGAACTGGTCGCCATATATTATGGTTTGCAAGTTTTTCAGTTGCCTTGACAAACTTTTTAGAAAAAGTTGCAAATGAAAATGCATTTTTCTACTCGAGGTATAAACTAATTTTGGCCAACCCTCTGGCATTGTCTTGGCCATTTGAAAAGTGGCAGGACACGCCACAATGACTTTGAACACGAGTAGGAGTATATAGGAGAGCAGTTAGCGGAGCTCGCTTCGAGCTTCAAAAAAGTTCCCATATTAAAGAAAAGTGTGCCACAAATATAAAGAAATAAAGATGGCAGCAGAGAGATGGCGAGAGAAAGAGAATTACTCGGGCTTGAAAATGAAAATCAACAGTGCAATTTGCAATGTTGCTTGCCTCTTTGTTAGCCCCGACAAAAGCCGACTAAAAACTTGAAAAGCGCAGCAAAAGTTGTAACCACCACCAACAACCACCCAACCTCTAGAACCACTCGAAAACGACATTCCCTTTATCAACTTTTGCCAAGATTGGAGCAGGCAAATGTGTATGTATGTGTATGTGTGTGTATGTCGGTGTGTGTGTGTGTTTGTACTTGCAACACCAAAAATAACAAGGACAGTGGGTGTTAAAAGTTCACTGAGACAGAGCGAGAGAGAGAGAGAGAGAGAGAGAGAATGAGAAAATGTGTATTGTGTTCATTATAATGGAATAATAAACCGAAACGTCAACGAGAGGACAAGCTGCTCCCAACTAGGCACGCCGAACTCTGTCAAGACGTTGTTGGGCCAACAGGCAATGTCTTTTTTGTTGCAGCTACTGTTTTTGTTGTTGTTGTTTTTGTCATTCTTAAGTTTCAACCCGCTATACTTTATTTTTTTCCTTGACTTAGTTAATAAACCCGAAAAGTTTTGTCTTCATTATCGTAGCACACAACCTTATGAGATTGCATGGTGCAACTCCTTCATGTGGCAACTCGAGTGTCCTGGCCCTAGTGGTTAATTAGAAGTTTGCCCAAAATGTCGTTGCATGCGAGCCAAAAGTCAAAGTTAATCCGCTGCTATAGGATAATGGACAATGTTATGCCGCCGCCGGCTGTCTCATTGTTGCCCAGATACTTATATATGTATGAATGTATGTATATCTGCCTATTCACATACTTAAATACCTACATACATACATACGTACATACATGGACATCCGTTTATTAGGGAAGAAGGCAATCTCATTGCTGCGCATTTCTAAGCCGCGCGCACACTGACTCAAACCAACAATGCCAACACACAAATGCCATAAATAATGCAACAAACTTGTGCATATTTTGTGGCGAAGAAAGCTAAACAACAAGGACAACAGCAGCAGTAGCAGCAGCAGTAGCAGAAACAGGAGCAACAACAACAGCAATGCGCTTAGAAAGTCAACACGACAACTTCATTAAGCACCAACACGTTGACACTTCCGCCTTGAGGGTTCATTTCCGCTAAGAACGACACACGAGCGTACACACATACAAACATAGATACATAGATACGCACTCTACATTTGTATCCTGGCAGTGTGTAAATTTGTATCTAAACAGCGTACACCGCACGAATGCGCTTGCATGTATAAGTATGTATGTATGTGTGCGAGTGTTTGCAATCAGGCTAAAAAGGACCTTCCGCCTGACAGCTCAAGCATGCATTGTAAGCATTTGCAAGGATTTGCAGCATCCACATTACATTTAAATGCCCTTTAAAGTTGTACAAAATGTATGTTGTGCAAATGCAAACAACAACAAAGCGATTTGAAAATGTAAACAAACAGCTGGTTTTGCGCGTCTCCAAAGTCAGCTGTTAACTTTTAACTGATAACAGTAATCGGGGCAGTTGGCAACGCGACGCCAACTATCGATAAGCTATCGAGTTGAGCACTACACGTGCATGAGCAACAGCTTATTCTTGTATTTAATAAAGTAGGACTATAATTAAAATGCTAGACAAAATGAAGACAACGCCGGAGTTGACAAACTCCCGGCCCTGTTTCAAAGAGATACCCGAAAAATTGAACGAAGTAAGTGGCTATTAGGTGCCTCTTCTGGCTGCCGGCAATAATGTTCTTTATGTTTTTTAAGCACCTCATCAACTTGGGTGCTCCGCATGTGAATTCATTTGATGAAATGTTAAATGTGGGACTGGCGAACCTGGCCAAGCGCATATATCCCGTACATTTTCAGTCGCCAGCCGGGGAGCGCATTTCATTTAAAGTGGAGAGTATCTGGATATCTAAGCCACAGGTGCCCATGGATGCGATTGAGGTGCGAACACGCGAAATCTACCCGACAGATGCGCGACAGCTGCATGTCTCATACGGCGGCATGTGTAGCGTGCGACTGAGCTGGACTGTTAATGATATAGAGAAGAGCGCCATTAACATGGATCTAGGTGAAGTGCCGATTATGTTGCGTTCAGCTGCCTGCAATTTGCACAAAGCTACACCAGCGGATATGGTAAAGCATGGCGAGCACGACAGTGAATGGGGTGGCATATTTGTAATACGTGGCAACGAGAAGATCGTTCGCATGCTGATGTTGAGTAGAAGAAATTATCCCATTTGTGTGAAGCGCTCCACCTGGAAGGATCGCGGACACAACTTTAGCGAGCTGGGAATATTGGTCCAAACTGTGCGCGACGATGAAGTCTCCTTCTCCAATGTTCTGCACTACTTGAACAATGGAACGGCCAGATTTATGTTCTCACACTACAAACGTTTGTCGTACATTCCCGTGTGTCTTATACTGAAATGTCTGATGGACTACACAGATGAAGAAATCTATAACCGGTTGGTGCATGGCTACGAGTGGGATCAATACTATGTGTCGTGTGTGCAGGCAATGCTACGCGAGGTGCAAAACGAAGGCGTCTACACACATGGACAGTGTAGGTCATTTATGGGCACGCTTTTCAGAGGCCGACTTTACCAGGTACCCGAGTGGCGACCCGACGAGGATGTCACTGATTATATTTTGAAAGAGAGAATTATGGTACATCTGGACAACTATGAAGACAAGTTCAATTTAATTGTATTCATGATACAAAAGCTCTTCCAATGCGCTCAGGGCAAGTTCAAAGTGGAAAATGTAGATGCTGTAATGATGCAGGAAGTGTTGCTGCCGGGACATCTATACCAAAAATATCTAGGCGAACGCCTAGAACAATGGCTTACACTAGGGAAAAAATACCTTCAAAAGAAATTAAACACACCCGATGTGCTTATCAACAGCTCCATTATGTATCAAAGTATGCGCAATGCCGGCGGTATTGGGCGCGCCATGGAATCCTTTTTAGCCACAGGCAATGTAATCTCACGCGGTGGTATGGGCTTGATGCAAAACAGTGGTATGGTTATAATGGCCGAGAACATTAATCGGATGCGGTATATGTCGCATTTTCGCGCTGTGCATCGAGGTTCCTACTTTACTACAATGCGCACCACTGATGCACGTCAGCTGCTGCCAGATGCCTGGGGCTTCATCTGTCCAGTCCACACGCCAGACGGCACGCCCTGCGGTCTATTGAATCACTTGTCATTGATGTGTGAGATATCGCCGAGACCAGATCCATCCGAAGTGCAGGTGGGTAAACTAAAAACTTTCCAACAACGATAGATTTATTCTCATTTATCTGTTTACACATTTTTTAGATGATTCCCCAAAAACTAGTTGATATGGGGATGCTGCCGATTTCAGCTCGCACAGATCCTGAAGCTAAGCTCTATGTCGTATTCCTAGATGGCAAGCATCTAGGTCACATAATGCAGACTGATGCGCATAAAATAGTCGAGTATTTGCGTTTTGCAAAGATCACGGGGAAAATGCCAAAAATGATGGAAATCGCATTTATACCTTATCGAAAAAATGGACAATTTCCTGGACTCTTTCTCTACACTGGCCCGGCACGCATGATGCGTCCGGTTTGGAATTTAAAGTGGAATAAAATAGAATATATTGGCACACTGGAGCAAGTGTATATGGAAATAGCTATTGATAAGAAGGAGGTATATCCCGATTTCACAACACACTTGGAATTGGCAAAAACGAGCTTTATGAGCAATTTGGCAAATCTAATACCAATGCCGGATTACAATCAATCGCCTAGAAACATGTACCAGTGCCAGATGGGTAAACAAACGATGGGCACGCCGTGTCTGAACTGGCCCAAGCAGGCTGCCAATAAGTTGTATCGTCTGCAGACGCCAGGCACACCCCTCTTCCGACCCGTACATTATGATAACATAGGTCTAGATGACTTTGCTATGGGTACCAATGCCATTGTGGCTGTCATCTCATATACGGGCTACGATATGGAGGATGCCATGATTATTAACAAGGCGGCCTATGAACGTGGCTTTGCCTATGGCAGTATTTACAAATCGAAATTCATCGAACTAGACAAAAATAGCTATTTTGCCCGTAGTCCACATATGCCAGAACTGGTGAAGCACCTCGACACTGATGGATTGCCGCATCCGGGTACAAAACTATCCCATGGGTCTCCGCTCTACAGGTAAGTCGCAATTGAAAATACTGGCTACAATGCTATACCTATTTATTTGTATGTCCAATTGTTCTTTGCAGCTACTTTGACGGCGAGGTCTCCACCTACAAAGTTGCAAAACTGGACGAAGCGGAGGACTGCATGGTGGACAGCGTGAGGCAGTTGGGCAGTTTTGAGCTAACGCCCAAGCGAAATGTATGCATAACATTGCGGGTGCCACGCCCTGCCACTATTGGTGACAAGTTTGCCTCGCGTGCCGGCCAAAAGGGCATATGTTCGCAAAAGTATCCTGCGGAAGATTTGCCATTCACCGAAAGCGGTCTTATACCCGACATTGTCTTCAATCCTCACGGTTTCCCCTCTCGCATGACAATTGCCATGATGATCGAGACCATGGCTGGTAAAAGTGCAGCAGTACATGGCACTGTTTACGACGCCACGCCCTTCCGTTTTTCGGAAAAGAACACGGCGATTAATTACTTTGGTAAAATGCTCGAGGCGGGTGGCTACAACTATTATGGCACCGAGCGCCTTTATTCGGGCATTGACGGACGCGAAATGAAGGCGGACATTTTCTTTGGTGTGGTCCATTACCAGCGCCTGCGTCACATGGTATTCGATAAGTGGCAGGTGCGTTCCACGGGCGCAGTGGAGTCACGCACACACCAACCCATAAAGGGTCGCAAGCGCGGTGGCGGCGTGCGTTTCGGTGAAATGGAGCGTGACGCCCTCATATCCCATGGGGCCTCATTTCTGCTTCAGGATCGACTCTTTCACAACTCGGACAAAACGCACACGCTTGTGTGCCACAAGTGTGGCAGCATCTTGTCGCCCATGCAACAGATTGTCAAGCGCAACGAGACGGGGGGACTGTCCTCGACGGCGGAAACGTGCCGACTGTGTGGCGACAGCGGTGCTGTAAGCCTGATTGAGATTCCTTTCAGTTACAAGTTTTTGGTTACCGAGCTAAGTTCGGTGAACATAAACGCTAGATTTAAGCTTACTGAAATATAATGTTGACAATTTTATACCCCTTACCTAAAAGAAATGGGTATTTTGTTTTTAGCAATAAAGTTTGTATTCTAAGTAAGAAAGCGTCCTCAATTGAAAACGTATTAAGCTAAAACTGCTTAATAGCATCTTCTATATGTAGCTATATATTTTTACAGGTCCGATATGTTTCAAAGGAACGTAGCATTTAATTGTATGTTTGCGGATATGTATTAAGAAGTTTGTTAACATGCGAAATGTACTCAGTCCTGACAATTATATCCATAAAGCTGTTCTATATTATAAATAAAATCAATTTAAAAAATTATTTTCCATCTTTGAAAGATATGTTGTTACCAATTGTATATTATTACATCAAAATCGTGGACAAAATTTCATATCCCGCTCAAATATCAGACGATGTGAATAGAGGGCTTGCATGAGGAAAGTTTCTACGTCCGTAAGACCCTCACAGAACGCTTTATGCCACTTTAATAATTCTTCCTCAATAGATTAGACTCCCCAAAACACTTATGTAACATCTTCAATGATTCAGTGTAATTCATATATGAATATGTAAGTAAATGTCCAAATCATTCAAATAATAGTATTCTCGTGTTGATTTTAAATAGATTTTATTTATTTAAATACATATCTTTAATTACGTTACAGTTAAATTCCTGCATTTGCTATATGTAGTTTGCTGTTTTTGTGTTTGTTTGAATTTATTTAACAATTTAACTATTGCACTTTAGAAAAAAATAATATTCTCCAAACAGTTTGCAAATAAGAGTAGTATATTCTCCAAGTATTTAGTTTACATTAACTTTGTTCTTCTTTAAATGGCTTGGAATTTTGGCTCATTTTCAGTATGAATGCGAATCATGTATGTATGTAGTACACTATATATTTAATAATCTGTAGTTTATATTCAGTGAGTCACGCTTCGGTTGTCATCGGCTTGGACAATAAAATGAAAGAGAATTATGACTAAGCAAAAATAACACAAATCGTGCAGTTCGAACCAAGTTTTGGAATCATCTGTGACCAATGGCAAGCGAAACGTGAGCACCAAAATTGTTAATAACGAGCGGAACACAATATACAAAATTCATTTGGATACACTAATTAATTAGTTTATGTTTATAGTTTTACACATGCATGGTGTCGTTCCATTTATATGTATGTATATATTTTTGTTTTTGTTCAACAATGTTTATTCAAAATTTGCTTATGATCTTGAGTTTTCACCACTAATTATTTGTCTATCATTTAATGAGATTTATTCTTTTTGAAATACCGTCGTTTTCTTATCTCAAGTCCTGCAACACGCACATCTCAAAACATTAAACATGGGGGCGGGGCTTTATGCATCAATTAGTTTATGTATATGTATGTATATATTTATATATATATATATATAAATGTATATATTTAGTATTGTATAACATAACGATTTTTTGTTTGCTTGTATTTATAATTTTCGAATTATAATTTGTTTTTAATAAGCTTGGTTGTGTTTTTGTTTTTATTTTTTATTACAACGACGTTTATATACTAAGTATATATGTATGTGTTTGTATGAATGTTTATGTATGCATGTATACGTTATATGTATGTATGTATTTATGTAATAATATCCAACTGCTACAATTTTTCAAAATTATGCAACAATTCGTAATTTGTCATATAACATAATCTAATTATGTTCTCCACAAAAATACTACTACATGAACTTTTTGAGCTTAGCATTTACAAAGAAATTGTGGCGGTATATAAAAGAAAACGTAAAAGAAAAAAGAATAATGCATATAGAAGATTGGTTGAGTACAGATCGCAAGTTAAGAGCTAGTTGATAAAAAATTGGCGAGCATGCAGCTCTAAATTGTGGCCAAAAACTGGCAAGCTTTAAAAATGAAAGCTTGTCATCTATGTGGGGGGGAAGTCAGCGTGCAGTTGCAAGTAAGTATGTGTGTATAGGTACGTGTAGGGGCCCAAGTGGGCGTGTTGTATGGTTGTCTCAGGCATACAGTACAAGTACAGGTAAAACTCGAGTTACTTTTTAACTTAACTTAAGTCACAAATTTCGAGAGGAAAACACTTTACATACATTAGCCAACTTTGCCATAACTACGATTTCTCTTTTCTTTCTTTCTTTTTTTTGTTTGATTTGTAATTAAAGTGGTATTTGCAATTTCTCTAGGTGATTTAGCGAACGCTCTTTTCTTAGGATTGTGCATTTGTAAAGTGGTGATTTGTTTCTGTTTTGTGGTTGTTCTTGTCTAAACATCTTTTTTTAGTTATACATATGTATATTTATATATGATTGGTTTGTTTGTTTGTGTGGCGGCAAATCGTTGCTTAAAACTGATCCGACAGCAAATCGCAAATTTCACGAGTTACGGTCTCCTTGCTAGCGCGAATGGTCAGTCGGAACATCTGTAAGATAAAGTAGTGAGTATTGTCGGGTATTGTTATCTGAGGATGATCTTAACTTACCTGTGCCTGCTTATTGGGCTCCAATCGCAATAAGCAGCCCACCTGTTGCGTCTGTGTGTGTATTATGCCCGCACATACCATATTATCGGGATTGGGATCCACATTATCCAGCAGTTGCATTCCAAAACCCATTAGTTTATTCCTTGCGCCTGGCAAATCCAAAGGCTGTTGCGCCTTAAACACCTTTTGTGACCTCTGTTGTTCGCTGTAAGCATATAATTTTCAATTAAGGATAATATTATATTTGTATTTTTATACGCTGTACTATTTGTCTGGAGAAACTCTAGGATTACGAAATCGCTGAACCCATAATGACCAACGTAATAAGCAGATACGCCGCCAGTTTATTGGGTAGTATGTGCTATATAACTTCTTTTTTGACTCACCCGCTCAGATTTTTCCATCTGGCAAAGAAGGATTCTGCGTTCATTTCGGTTGGCTCGAAGAATTTGTTCACGCTCAGTGGCAGCTTAATGCTAAACTTTTGCTGTGTACCATTGTAACGAAAGCTAATCTCAATGGTAGGTGCATCCGCATAGTCTTCAATGCATTCGGCTGTGAGCAATTGTTGGATTTGTGCGCCTGCCTCGAGCGTTGGTTCCACCGCCTTCATTTGCACATTGAGCTTCAGGGCATCTTCCGCCGACCATTGCAAGACGGGATTGAAGTTCTGTAAAACAATGGGTTGACAAATTATGTAATAGCTATTAAATTATATGGTCATTAGATTTAGTCCAACCAACAATTTCTATTTTCACGGCAATTTATAATCATTGCTCGCAACAAATACACATAAGCCCGGCTCTGGTATTCTAATTTTAGAAATCACACTCATTTTCTTAATTCCCCGAGAACTATTTGCTTTGCCAATTCGAGATTTTCTCATTACTATACTTTGTTTTAGTCTTATTATATATTCCGCGCCTATTTAGTTTTAATTTAAACTTTAATTGAAGAAAACCCCCTCATATACGAAGGTTGGTGTTTATTAATTTATGAAGAAAAATGCAATAAGTTCTAAACTTGAATTAGCACTAAACGAAAATATAATTATTGGCCAAAGACCTAAAATACTCACCGACAGTGCCACCTGTGTCTTATTGCCATAGAACAGGCCGAGACGACCCAAATTCTGTCGGAATTCGCTCTTAACGCCAATCTGTAGCATTTCGTTTTCGAAAAGCACGCCATTGTTTTTAAAGAGAAACTTTTTGGTGTTGTAGACCGCAGCATTGTTGTTGCCATAGATATCGCCCAAGACGTCGATCAGCGTATTATTCGTATTATTCACATTATTCGAGGGCGGTGTGCTCAGACCAAGCAGATCCGCATTTGCATTGCTATTAAGTTTGTTGTGATTCACGTGCGTATTATTTTGCACCACAGATGTGGGTGCTGGACTCTTAGATTCCCGTATCTCGTTCTCGGGCACACGTCCAGGCTTCTTCTTCTTCAGCACGGTCAATATGGAGCTCTCACGCTCTGGGAATGACGGCATCTCCTCCAGCACAGTGGCCAACACATCTGTGGAGGCCACGATGCTTAATTGCAGATATTCGCTGGCACGCTGTTGTAGCTCGGCGTCCGCCGATCGTAAATTACTGTGCTGACGGAATACTTCCTGAATATTGGTTCGTATTTCGGGAAACAGATTGATGAATTTGATGTATGTGGAGAGTAGAAGGGCGCGCGTCATGGGGGAGCACAAATGATATTTGGAGTGCAGGAGCTTGAACTGAACCAATGGTGCTGAACGTGAATCGCCAGCAATCAGGTTGCCAAACTCGCCCAGTATATAGCCACCCACTTTTACCATATTCTCATGGCAGGCGGGCGCCTGCAGTGCCTCGAAAACTGTCTTGGCAGCATAGCCCTGCACCTCCTCGCGATTGATGACGATTTGTATAACACGGTACCAGACCTCTTCGGAAACATAATCGCCAGCGATGCGTATGAGATTAAGTATGACATCAACGTACCTGAAGATGAGAAGTAAAGGTAATTAATACAATATTCGTCATTTATAGCTGCATGTGAAACTAAATTAAATTCAAATTACAACAGATGTGAGAACTCTAATCATACACAAATATTCTATATAATACTATATCTAGATAGGTGAACAAAAGGTGAAGGTACACCAAAAAAGACTAATATAGTATCTGTCTGTCTTCAAATATCTAAATTCCTTCTCTTGAGACCTTTACTTAACGGTATAGAAGTACGCCACTTACCAAGTGTAGTCGGTAGCATATTTCTCGGCCAATATGGCCACCTTCAGCACCATTTCCTCGCGTATGGAATAGTCCGCTGTCTCCAGATAGTTGAGCATCTCCTGTACGATTTCCTCGGCATTGGCACGATCGCACATGGCATACAATAAATCGACGGCCATTTGTCGCACCGATACATCTTTCTCCATTTTCATGGACAATATAACAACTTCCTGATGCTTCTTGACCTCTTCATGCGAAAACTCCGATGTGGCCAGATGACACATGGACTCCAGAGCCAAATAGCGTAAATTTGTCTCGCGGTTGCTCAAAAACTGGCCCAACTGATTGCAGGCGCGCACCAATAAATTCGGCTCGCTATCGCTGTGTATAATCAAGTTGATAGCCTCGAATAGCACCGCATTCTTTGCATTCGAGTGCTGAACCTTTTTGCTCTTTGGTGGCTCCTGTGCCTTGTTCAAAATCGTCTCCAGAGTTTCATTCAATCGTGCACGAACACCCGGTTCCTCGGTAACAGGATTATAGTTTTGCAGCAGACGCAACAACTTCACCGAGAGCCAAGGAGCCGGTACAAAATAGTACGTGTAGTCCTGCAAATCCGTATAGCTGGCGGTTACAATGCGCGACAGCCGGGAAACAGCCAAATTCACGCAACCCTTGTACTCATCCGGATTACGCTTGACCAGAGCATCGATCAGCGAGGTGGCAGCCGTTACCACGCCCATGTGCTGATCATTGAGCAAATGTATGATGCGCGAAGTCCATTCGCCGCCGGGTATGATGTCCGGCGACGAACGGAACAAACGCAGCAGACAAAGCGCAGCCGATTGCTTCACCACATCCATAGTATCGCCCGATACCAACAACTTGGGTATCTCATTGGAAAACGATTCGGCCATATCGCGACTACCAATATTGGCAATGCACTGCAGAGCCAAATTAACATGCACAGGATTGCGTGACTGCAAATCATTCTTTATGGATTGAATGATGAGGCGGATCAAATCGCTGTTTGTGTTGACCAGCACCGAAATGAAGAGATAACCCTGCAAACATATCGAAAAGTCACACTTAGAAATCATTAATTAATTGTACTTAAAATTACTTACAATTTGCTTCTCCGAGTATTTGTTGGAGGACAACAAATTGACAGCCTCCATGTGACCAAAGTCAATGTCATGTCCAAGCAAAAATATGAATAGCAGCTTACACACATATTTCTTTTTCTGATACCCATCCAGCGTTTTGTCTCCTTTAAATTTGCTGCGTATGTTGGCCAACTCTTTGTTTATGCGCTTTACCTCGGCCTCTTTACTTTTACCTGGGGAAATGGAGGAAAAGTTTAAAATTCGTTGGTCATAAAACAGCACAAGGGAAATTGGATATATGTACGTATTCTTCAATGCCACTTCATATCAATTATATACCAAAAATTAGGTCAAACATTAATACATTTTTTTGTTAATCAATTCAAATAGCAAGCTTTCGCATCATAATAACATAAATACTACTATTGGACAAACGAAGAAGCAAAAATAAATTAAAAGCAATCCTGAGGTACCCATTAAAAATCAGAGTATAAATTAGAAATTAATTAATTCAGGCCATGTTTTCTCCCTCATATTATGTAATTCAGGGCATGTAGCTTTTGGAATTTTCAGCCCCGTTTTAAATTAAAATGGGGTAGCATTAATATGATAGAAATATCATAGGTAAGTTTTTTAAGTAGAACACATAGATATGTAATTGCTTTTTATAAACCTGGACTTGTAACGTCTTTGAGTGTAACTACTTTTTGATTAACATACTATATGAATACATATTATGTGCACAAACCGATATTTTTTAGCTGACTTCCAAATTTAGGAAAAAAAACTTGGCTTTTGTTATTAAGCAGCTTGACTGTATAAGCATAAATGCTTTAAACCTTTATCCAAAACGTTTATCGAGCCAGCACAAACAATTCACGTCTCTCATTTTCACACGTTCTCAATACAAAATGTTTAGTATGTGCCACTATACACACATATGCACATACATACATATATGAGTTATCGGCAAGATATCCGTTTGCATATGTATATGTAAGTTTGTAGAAAATTGCCAGATATTGTGGGAGGAGGTGAGTGCATTGCTCATAAGACTATTTCTCAAATGTGGTTTATTACCAAACAGCGATCGGTTTGCTTTACAATGCGGCTCATGAAAGCGCTCTCCATGTTGGGGCAAAAACCGCAAACAGACGGCGAGATTGTTATGAAGGCGCCAATTAGCATTAGTGCCAGGCACCGATTTGTTGCTCTGGAGAGCACCAAAGGCTCAGATACATACATATACATAAATACATATGTATGCTGATGCTGCTGACTATAAAACCAGTAATGACATTTATGATAATGCCATGAAATGCGACAAAGAGCGGCTACAAACTCAATGGCAGAGTTGAGCGTCAAGTTGAGTTTCAATCAACTTTACAGAGCAAACAATTGAGGCGCTCACACACATACACATGTATGTACATACATACAAGTGTGTCCAATGAGTGCCGCCCAGCTTTTTTGTTGTTTGTGCCGCCACTGTTGCTGGTGTTCTCGCAATTAAACAGAAGAAAACAGCTTTAAATTGACGCCCCTATATTATGGATAAGAAAAAACGCAGTGCACATGCCGCCTAATAAATTGAATTAAACCAAATATGTATTGCAAAATAGAGATCTCACAAATAAATAGATGTAACTACGTGTGTACGCATATACTTGTGTGTATGTCCATATGTGACTTTAGATAGTTATGAACACTTACAGTTTCTTATATCCGATATGAATACGGCCAGGCCTCTCATGCCATCCCCCCGCACCGGTGCCATTGTAGTTAGTTTGTTAATTTTCGCTGGTTTTATTCAAACTTGGGGGCGAAGAAAAATCTGTTTTCAGTGGCCGAGTCGCGGGCGCTCTTATCGCTCGAACTCGACGGCGGCGACAACAACGACGACGACGACCGTTGGCGACTGTTGTGGCGCTGCTGACAACGACGACGACTCTTGACTGCTTCTGCTTACTGACTGTTAAATGGGAATTTTATTTGCTTGCAGTGGCACTTCTGTTATTGTTGTTGCTGCTATTCTTCTTCTCTTGTTTGGTTGCCGCGCGCGCTCACTCTCTCTTTCTCTTCTTGCTCAGGCGACGGGCAATGAAGACGACCTGTTGAGAAGGCAACATTTGATTAGAAATCAATTGAAAATAAAAGCTATTGATTTTAAATATTTGGTGCGACGCTTTGAACTTTAACATTTAAAGGATGTGCGCCACCCGCTTACATACACACGCACGCACCCACTCATTACTGAATGTCATTGGTTTACATACATAGATATGTATGTATATATGTGGGATTATTTGGCAAGTGCATTGCAACTTGGCAGCGAATTTTAGTCGCAACAGGAACAACAAAATTGCTAATAGCTGATAAAGACTTTTGTCGCAATTAAAAATTAAACATTGCGCTAAACAGAAACAACGAAATGTTTTACTGTTTTATCGTATTTTTTGTGTGTATGCGCAAAGCTTATCGCATAGCATGGAACAACTTTTGAAACGCCTAATCTCACAATTTTTGGGCGTTCATTTGTTTAAACCATTCATATACATATGTAATTTTATGTCCAGCATTTGGACCACCGGCTTCCTCACTTGCTCTTTTGTTGTTTCTTTTGGACGCTTTTTCGCTTTCATGTCACGTCGCAGTCGACGTCATTTTTGCTGCTAGTTGGCCAAGCCAGCGTCGCAAGATGACGAAGACTTTTCAAAAAAAAACACAAAACAGCCACAAAATATGAACAAATTAAAAAATATAACTATGGCTTTTGATTCTGCTGTACCGCCGCTTACTTTTTCAACAGAAAAATGTCGATTATAGCCAAATTGCATGTAATTTTTTTTTTGGCTGACAAATTCTTTTCGAAGCGCTGGAATTTTTGGTTTGGCTTTCTCGCTATTGCTGCTACTTTTATCGCTGCTGTAGTTGTTGTTACACTGCGGAAATGGATCTCGTGGCGTAGAATTTCGTTGGAGACGACTTTTATTTTCACTTTATGTAACTCCAATTGATTTATGGCATTTATTTTTCGCACCAGCTCTTCACAACATTCACGGAATTCACGTAAATGCAGAAAATTTTTATTGATTGATTTTACGAGCCACTACCGCCATCTACTGGGTGTAGTGTTAGCAACATTAGCGTGGCGGCGCCCGCAAGTGCTGCAAAACGGGGCACGCGCGTTTTACAGCACTTGGAACTCTAGTCTCCGCCATTTTCGTGCATAAGTGTGTGTTTTTGCTAAAATGCATATAAAATAAACGAATTTATTCGTAATTGACTTAACTGGACAAATCAAAACGCCGCTGGCCAACGTGAACTATTGGCAAAGATCAAGTACATCCCTACAACAAAATAGACAGCCGCATGTCTTACGCAGCGCCCGTGCCCGTGTGTTATCGTCGTTGTCGCCTTTTTAGCCGCCGTGCATAATTGGTTAGAAATTGATTTTGAGGTTTTTTGGTGGGAACAGTTGAGAAGATTGACGGGCGGAGAATACGTTGCGAAAGTGCAACTTGTTGCATCCCAGTGTGTAGAGTGGTTAGCAGCCCAAAATGAGTTTTTCAAGTGACGAAGTCAACTATTTAGTTTTCCGATATCTTCAGGAGTCAGGTGAGTAATAACGAGACCGACGCACCATACATCCAATGTTGTAAAGAGTCGCAATCTTACCGGTAATTTTCCACTCATAGGCTTTCTACACTCGGCGTACGTGTTTGGCATAGAGTCGCACATCTCGCAGAGCAACATTAATGGCGCGCTTGTTCCTCCCGCCGCACTGCTGACCATAATTCAGAAGGGCCTGCTGTACACCGAAGTAGAGTGGAGCGTGGGCGAGGATGGCGAAGTGGCGCGTCCCATCGAGGGACTAAGTCTAATTGATGCTGTAATGCCAGAGGTGAAACCACCCAAGCCGGCGGTCAAGACGGAGCTGGCCAAGGCCGGTGTAGAGGCCAGCACGCCAGCAGGAGCAAATGCAAACAACAATGTTAAACCCGAGATTAAGATTGAGCCCGGCACGGGTGCTGCGGGAGCGGGCAAAACGGCCAGCAGTACAACGGGCACCAGCACACCCACGGGCAATGCAGAGTCGAGCGAAGTGGACTCGAGTGGAAATGCCAATGGGAACTCCACCAACACTGGCAATAACAATACAACGGGTGGCACAAATGCCACAGCCAACAACCAGCCCACAGCCTCAGCTGGTGGCGATGCTTCAGCGGCAGCGACGAACGCGAACAAAAAAGCTGGCTCCAGTGAGCCCGGCAATAGTACAACGAGCGCGACAAACAATGCGAATGCTACCAACACAGATGATGCCGCCTCATCGACATCGACAAATGGCAATGGCAGCACTTCGAGCAGTGTAGAGCAGCCCTCAGCGGGGGTGACAACCACAGGCAATGTGCCCGCATGCGCCGCTACGGACACAGCGACGGCAGCGGCGGCTGGTGGTGCAACGGCAGGTGCCAAAGCGCCCAGTGGTGCGTCAACAGCGCGTACCGGCTCTCAACCAGGCAATAATGTGCAGACTGGGGCCGCGACAGTTCAAAGTTCTGCACCTAGCAGCACCACCTCAAACAGTGGCACACCCGGTGGTACGGTGGAAGCCATGGAAATTGATCAGAGTATAGAGATTCCAGAGTCGAAGGCGCGCGTATTGCGCGGGCACGAAAGTGAAGTGTTCATTTGCGCTTGGAACCCAAGTCGCGATCTGCTGGCTAGCGGCTCAGGCGACAGTACCGCACGCATCTGGGACATGTCCGATGCGAATGCCAATTCCAATCAGTTGGTGTTGCGTCATTGCATACAAAAGGGTGGAGCTGAGGTGCCTAGCAACAAAGATGTCACCTCATTGGATTGGAATGTAAGTAAACTAACATTAAATAGCAATTTATGGTTAATAATTTGAATATTATATTCGGTGTAGTGTGATGGTTCATTGCTTGCTACCGGCAGCTATGATGGCTACGCACGCATTTGGAAGACAGATGGACGTCTCGCTTCTACGTTGGGCCAACATAAGGGTCCCATTTTTGCACTCAAGTGGAACAAATCCGGCAATTATATACTCTCGGCGGGTGTGGACAAAACGACTATCATTTGGGATGCCTCCACCGGTCAGTGTACCCAGCAATTTGCTTTCCACAGTGCACCGGCTCTGGATGTAGATTGGCAATCGAATCGTTCCTTTGCCTCGTGCAGCACAGATCAGCGCATTCATGTCTGCCGCTTGGGCATTAACGAGCCAATTAAAACGTTCCGCGGTCACACAAACGAGGTGAACGCCATCAAATGGTGTCCACAGGGCCAGTTGTTAGCCTCGTGTTCGGACGATATGACCCTGAAGATCTGGAGCATGTCACGCGATGTCTGCTGTCATGATCTGCAAGCGCACTCAAAGGAGATTTACACAATAAAATGGTCTCCGACTGGACCAGGCACCAACAATCCAAATACGAACCTTATACTTGCATCGGCGTCCTTTGATTCTACAGTACGTCTGTGGGATGTTGAAAGGGGCACATGCATTCACACGCTTACGAAGCATACGGAGCCCGTCTATTCGGTCGCATTCAGTCCAGATGGCAAGCATTTGGCATCGGGTAGTTTTGACAAGTGCGTTCACATTTGGAGCACCCAGACTGGACAGCTAGTGCACAGTTACAAAGGCACTGGCGGCATCTTTGAGGTTTGCTGGAATTCAAAGGGAACCAAAGTGGGTGCTAGTGCATCGGATGGCAGTGTCTTTGTGCTCGATCTTAGAAAGTTTTGATCACCGACTGGACTGCCACACATCGCCTCAGTACTCGTAGGATCTGCAGAATTGTCCTCTCCTTCTAACGAATTACTTGGCTATGTATATTAAGAATAACAATGGTCTATGTACACCGCTCGTTTGTATCATCTATTGCTTATTTGTCTTCTGACCTGTTCTCTTGTCCAATGTCTTGCATACGCTTAGACTTCAGCCACTTAATTATTGAAGAGAAAAAGTGTTATGGGACGACTGTGCTGGCGTTGCCAATGAGTCCGAACTCTGAGTTTTTGTAACGCACATGGCGATGCGCCAGCACCGCCGCAAACGCTTTTTAGCTTAGCATTAAGTTCAGTGTTTCTCTAACTAATCATTTTATACAAAACTCGTTTAGTATAACTTTATGCATTTTGTTAATGTATCGAAAGGTGAGATGGTCGCGCCTACCAACCACTTCAAACCCAGCGCCGGAAAAATTTTGATCAGCTCCTTTTAGTTTCATAGATGTAAGCATATTCATAGTTAGCCGGTGGGGTGGTATGCCCCTTGCAATTTATGAAGAGATTCACGCATACATTCAAACAGTGTAACTGCATCCCAGCGTAGCATGTAAAACGACCTTAAGCCTAAGATTATAAAACTAAAGTGGCAAAACAAAAAAACAGCAAAATTAATTAAAGCTCAAGAAATGCCCGTCTTTTATTTGCAACAGCTAGGACAAGATATTTAGCTTTCAAATTTCATCGCGGCTTAAGTGAGAATTCAATGTTTTGTTTATTTAGAATGAAAACAGAAGTATAACGAATGTTTCTGATAATTTTTTGTATTAAATTGATTAGTAATAATAGTTTTCAACATAGATCCGTGTGTAAGTTTGCTCGTGTCTTTAATAAAAGAACAAATTACCACATTTGCGCTTATAAACAAAGTCTATAGCAAATGAATTCGGGGTATCTTCCAAATTGAAGAATATACGCGCTAATTAGAAACGAGAGATCGAATGTTGTCAGAATTAATCAAAAAAAAATCAATATTAAAATATGAACCAATTTATTACAAGTGTGAAAAGGATTTACTAAAATTCTGTTACATTGCCAAGATGTCGTTCTTTAAAGAAACGGCACTCCTCGCGCTTTATTTCGCCCGTTTTGGTGGTTCCCTTAAAGAATTTTGTCAGCTTGGTGCCGGCGTACTTGGGTTTCTCCGACTCCGACTCATCGAATTCCATATTAAAGGCCTTGTCGGCAAGCGCATTCTCAGCTGTGGCCCAGCTGAAACGCACTAGACGTGGAAATCCAAATACCAAGTCAATGTGTTCGGTGAGGAAACGCTTTGTGACCGGATCTCCTGGATAACCACTGCCAAAGCCATTATCCTTTATGTTTAGGCCTTCAGGAAATTTCCACACCTTAAGTGCGTGGTCACGGGTCACTTTTGCGCATATACTGGCCGCCGAAACAATAGGATAGGTAGAATCCGCCTTTTTAGCCACGGTTATTTTGAATTTGGGGAACTTGCGTTTCAATCTCTCCTGATACTTCTCCGGCGGACCAACAGTGTCTACATAAACCTCTGCTATGTTGACGCCAGCTTCGATGGCGCGTTCTATTAGGCCCATGGCCGAGTTCATCGAGACCTCGTTGAGGGAGCATTTGGTGCGTCGGTTCATGCTAGTGCTAATGACATTGGGTGAGATTATCTCCACGGCCCAACCAATGCACTCCTTGGCATAGTCCAGCGTATTAATATCGTTGAATATTATGTCGCGCTTCTCTTCCGTCAGCTGTTTGGAATCCGCACAGCCCAGATCGACAAGGGCTTGTTTGCTTTCGAGTGGACAGTATGAAATCCCATAAACCATTGGCCCCAGCACCGGTCCTCGGCCGGCTTCGTCGACGCCCAGCATGCAAGGCTTCTCCAGGCAAACGGCGGGAACATCGCTTAGATATATCGTATTTTTACTATTCTCCTGCGCCGCAATAAACGGACCCAATGATTTCAGTGAACTGATTCTGTTGGTATCGTCTGTGGCCTCATCTTTCGTATCGGCCATAGACTCATCCTCGTCCTTAATCGCGCTTGTTTCAACCTTAATAGAAGTCTCGCTCTTTAATTTAATATCTTCAGCAGTCGGCATCTTCGCGCTCTTTTGTTTGTTTACGCCATAGAGATGACAACAAAATATGGCCGTGAGTCACGACTAGAGATTTGCAGCAGCCGGTTTTTTCTGATCCACAGGGCTACGACACAGTTTTCAAATTAAAAACGTCTGCAGAAAAGTTCCCCAGCACTGGCCCAGAAAAAAAACAAAATTGGAAACCTATCTATTTAAAAATGTATACTTTTTATACTCTCTACATGAAATGTACAGAAGTGTATTAGGTTTGCGGGAGCTGAAAAATGTAACAGACAGAAGGAGGCGTGGCAGACTCCACAAAGTATATATATTCGTGATCAGCGTGACAAGGCGAGTCGATCTAGCCCTGTCTGTCTGTCTGTCCGTCCGTATGAACACCTGGATCTCAGAGACTATAAGAGATAGAGACACCAAATGTTGCACAAAGATGCCTTATGTGTGTATTCTATACGAGTTTGTTTTATTTTTTTGATTTTCCCCCCCACTTCCCCCCTATGGGGGTTTTCCCGATTTTCCATTCGCATAATCGCCTATATCTCGGAGACTATAAGACCTAGACCAGATGCCTTATATGAATACGCAGAAAATGTATATTTTGGAATTTCCCTCCCTCTCCCCTCTCCACCGCAAATCGTAACTCCCGTAATTCTTGGAATTTCGAACTCAAACTTGGCAAATACCTCCATTTATTTATAATAAGTCCAAATACCAAGTTTCATCATGATAGGCCGATTTAAGACGAATTTATAGCCATATATGTACATAAGACCAAGTAGTGCCGGCAGCTGTTATTGGCACACGAGACATACACATACACACACAAATACACACACGCATAATTATTCAACACATATGTACAGAGTATTTCAAAGTCGGGACACCCGACTTTAGCTTTTTTACTTGTTTTTGTCTAGAAGTATCCACAAATCTCCTCAGTTGTCTGCCCCCTTTTTGGAATTTCTGCACTCCGTTGACAAACGAAAGTTACCAAGTACGCTGGTGTAATCAGTTGTTTTCATAATTTTTAAATTGAACTATTTACAAGCCATGACAAGAATGACTCAATTTATTGTAATGTATGATAGGTTTTGTAAATATAGGTGAAATTTGATAAGTTATAGCCGTAATCTCTGCCCAATCTCTGTCCGCACCTGTTGTTGTTGTTCCTATGATTTCACTTTTCAATAAACTGTAAGACTACTTAGTTGCACTTGATGTCACCGCTATTAAAATCACAAAAGTTGTAAATACATACATATGTATGTACATATGCGTAAGCAGTTTTTCTGCTCTAGCTATAAGGTGCTTTATTTTCATTTCGCCTTTATCTGGCGGTTTTCTTTTCATATACCTTCATACCTGTAATTTGGGTCCGTGCCCCCACTTGTTAGTTTTGGATATATTTCGCAAACAAGTAGAATGTCCCGTATCATCCTTAAGTTTCTTATACGCTGTTCGCCACACCCCTTTAAGTCTATTATCTATCACCCACTGCTCCCAAACAAAGCATAGAGAGAGATAGAGATTTTTAAATTAAATGTTATTTATTTGTTGTAATTTAATCAAAATAAAAATGAAATGTTTCTGCTTTAGGTATAACAAGTGGAAAAGTTAAAGTCGGCTGCTCGGACTGTGAAATAATTATAGAAATTTCAAAAAGTTGTGGTTGAATAAAAAATAGTGATAAACATGGCTTTATCGACTTATCTTGTCATGCTGATTCATACATTAGTATTTAATAATAGTTTCGTCAATAATGCAGTTATTATACAGTGCATAAATAAATTATAGTTTTGTTAAATATATATTATCCGATAATTTCCTGAGCCCCAAACAATAGCGGGATTATGTAGAAATTCCAGGTAAGTGTGGCCGGTTGCCCGTCGGTATCACTTTCGATCACTTGGTATGTTTCACAGATTATGTTTTCCCAACTCATATCCTCTTTCTTATTAAGTTTGCAGGCGTTTAGATCGGCATAGACACAGCCCCGCCATTCATCGATCCAATCTGAAGAGTATTTTTCTTAATTTCTGGCAAAACTAATTTATTAATGTAATTTACTCACCTAAAATTTCAATTAAAATCGTAATGCACTTAAAAATACCGCTTTGTGTAAGGTTTACTCCAATTTCGTAATAGTTCTCCATAAACTGGACTGTTTCTTCAGCTTTCGAGTGTGTGCAAGTCACGAAATCTAGCGTCTTACAATCAGTTTCCGCACTGCACATGGGACAGGAAAGGTGTTCCCCTAAGACCATATTGCCTGAATTATTTAATCTTTAATTATATTCACACTTAGTTTATAATTGTTTATTTGTCATTACACATACCCAGCGTAAAAGAGCACAAAAGCACCAATACTAGCCATATATAACGCCACATTTTTTTACCCATCACTAGAGCAGAATCTAAACAAAACTAACGCGTTATTGGTATAAACGTATTCTTAAACTTATTAAACTTATGACTGTTTCTTATCTCTTAGTCCTTATCTCAATGCAACTAAAAGAGCTTTTCATTAAATGAGTAAAATGAGCGTGGCGTCACAAGCTATAACTTCCCTAGAAATATTAGTGTTTCGTTTTTTCCGTACCTTCTCATGATTTGGAGAAATAATTTGGAGTATATCCTTCAGAGTTTGGGTACCTTACACTTAAAATGTCTTAAATATATTTCTTGTTTTTTTTGTATTTGTTTATTACATTTTTTATTTATTTTTACAACAGTCTTCAAAATCAGCACAACCACGGTATTGGCCCATTGGCTTAATCTATGGATGAAGTCGCAAAGCACTAATGCTACCAGAAAATCTTCGAAAACTCTTCGTTTTTGAATTGCGCTGCCATTCGAATAATCACGCGCTCGCCACTATCCTATTTTTTACCATAAACAAAATCAGCTGTTTCTATTGTTTTTGCAGTGTTGCAAAACCCGACATTGGCGAAGCGCAGCCAACTTTGCTCCACTCTTTCTTTCCGGTTTAGGAGTTGGTCCAGTGTGCTTGTTCTCTTTCGAGCTAAGGCCGATTATTATAAATATATTTAATTTTTGGCAACTTGCACCAAATTTTGAATAAGCAAACAAATCCACAATGTCGACAAAAGCTGAGCTCGCATGCGTCTACGCCTCCCTCATCCTGGTTGATGATGATGTCGCCGTCACTGTAAGTAAAAGTTTCCAGCCCGGCCGCACTTTGTGATTCCAGCTAAATCTGCAATAATAAATGCAATCCTTGGCATTTTAGATGAGTTGCACTGGCTGGGCAAAGGCTTGCCTCCTGGCGTGTCTACTTAACATTTTATATTATATGAATTCCTCAATGTTTCCATTTTAGGGTGAGAAAATCTCGACCATCTTGAAGGCTGCCAATGTTGAGGTTGAGCCCTACTGGCCCGGTCTGTTCGCCAAGGCCTTGGAGGGCATCAACGTCAAGGACTTGATCACCAACATTGGCTCTGGTGTTGGCGCTGCTCCTGCTGGTGGAGCTGCTGCGCCCGCTGCCGGTGGCGATGCCCCTGCTGCTGAGGCCAAGAAGGAGGAAAAGAAGAAGGAAGAGGAGTCTGACGTGTCTGACGACGACATGGGCTTCGGTCTGTTCGATTAAGCAGCTGCAACAAAAATGCAAGGCAACAACATTCGCCGCGGTTTTTTATTTGCGTTCCCTTTAAAGTTGTGTTTCCAAATTTGGTACACGTTTTAATGTACAAATGCAAGGAAATACAAGTTTTTACGTAAAAGTGCCGGTTCTTGTAATTTATTTAAAAACCATTTGTTCCAAAACTTCTGCTATTTCATGCAGAACCTTAGTTTCTATGTTTTTCAGTCCAAGTCCAATGATTAGGTTCTTCGGGCACCTGTTTAGCATTGTGTTGTTGGCCAGGAACTGAATAGCGCTTACTGTCTCCGAAGTATCATTTCCAAGACAGCATTTTGTACTTAGAACTACTGGTGTGTGGTACTCCTTAAGGTTTACAGGTAATTTGCGAGCGTCGAGCTTTACGTCGAAGGAGACGTCATAAATGACGCCAATTTTGCCCAGCTGGGTTACGAGAAGCAGCCACTGCCCCGCAAAGCGATGAAATACGAATTCGGTGTGCACACCATTTATGAGTGTGCCGAATTGCCTGTCGAATCCGATTTCAGGAGGGACATCCATTTTGAAAATGTGCAAATAAATGAATAGTATCACAATTGTTTACGTCCGGCAATTACTTGTGGAAATAGCATGACAGATCTCTGACAGCTAACTACCAGTGTGCTTAAACGTTGCGGCACCCGCTGTTATATGTATTCGGTATCGGATATCGATAAACGTGCCAACACACTTATCGCTAGAAATTGCTTCACTAGATAACGGACACTTGGTTTGTTTGATCAATAAACGACTGCGACGAAATGTCTTGTATTTGCTTGGGTCCAAAGCGAGCTGGCAAGACGCACTTGCTCAAGGCCCTACAAGATCCTGATTCAATTGATGAGACCACGTACTCTATGCCCACTATTGGCACGGGTATTTATCGCATATATTTTCCCACTAAATCCCATAACAGTGACAAGCCAAAGCCGCCACCTTCAGATGCTTCAGCTGGAACGGGCGCAACCCATGGAAAGCACCTCAAAAAATTTATACAAATTCTCGAGATTGGCGGCAGTATGGCTCCGTTGTGGCGCCAATATTTCGAAGATGTTCAGAAACTGATCTATGTGGTAGATACATCTAATCTCTGTCAGATTTCGGCCGCTGGTGTTCTATTCTACTCCATTCTGACAGAGCCGCGCCTACAAAAGGTAAAGATTCTATTGGTTCTCACCAAAATGGACTATTCCTATCGACAGATGCGTAACGAGGCGCTGCTAATGCTGCAAATGTCCAAACTACAAAAGCAGATACGCCAGCAGGTAACCATTGTGGAGGCCAGTGCTGTAACCAAAGTGGGTCTCGACAACATATACGAGTGGTTAAAACGACCTTAAATGTCTACTCTGTCTCTCTTTTTATTTTTCATTTAAAATGTGTGCAAATAAATAGTGTAAAATCTATAATCTATATCTATAATTTGTAGTGCAAGTCCATGTACTCCAGATTAGTGACTATCTCATTTGAATTGGGCAGCACATCCTTGGCCGCATTAAGGTAGGATTTGGCCCCCATAATGTCGCCACCATGAGCAGCCAGTACGGCCAGGTTGTTTAGTGCGGCGCCATTGCGTGAGTCGGAGGTCAGGCAGAGCTTTAGGCAACGCCTAGCCAGCTGAAAATCTCCGGTGGTCTGAAAGGGAGAAACGGGCAAAAGTTATGACCTGTGATGTAATGTAGGTTCCACTTACAATGGCCACAAAGCTGAGATTGTACCAGACATCCGCTTTTTGCTCCGGCACCGTCGCCATAATCAGGGCACGTTGGAAACAGGGCAGTACCAAATCAATCTGTCCCCCATAGAGACAACACAAGGCTATATTGCAATATAACTCTGCGGTGTGGACGCCCAGCGAGAGAATACGTCGATAATACATGAGCGCCATTTCCGGATTATTATCATAGAAATAGTTAACTGCAATACTGGCGAGGGCCTCGATATTAATAGGATTCAGCTTGGACACCAAACGATACATCTGCAGTGCCTCTTCTGGCTTGGCAATTGCATCATAGATCCGTCCCTGCTCCGTACGGTAGACGACATCAAAGGGATGTCGTTGCGCGGCCTCGCCTATCAGCTGCAAAGCGCGTTCCGGCTGCTTCAATCTCTGATATAGTCGGGATAACAGCAAATAGGTATCGGGATGTGGAAAGGCGGCCAACGACTGCTCCAGATAGGGTTCGGCCTTGCGCGGATAATGCAATGCGAGCAGGCAACGCCCTATTTGCTGTTTCCACCACCAATCGGCGCGAGCGTTGGGTAAAACAGTCCCGCCCATCTTCTGACGCTGCACATCCAGGACGGCCTCACACAACGAGTACGCCTTCTGCACATCCGCCTCATGGTAGTACAGAAATTGGAATAGAGCCTTCACCAGCATTTCACGCTCCGCATAAATGGTGGGATTCAGGCGTGAGGCCTGATACAGCTTAGACGTTGCATCGCCCACATTGTAGGCAGCTGCCGAGGTGGCACACACCCGGGACGCAGTGCCGCACCGTGACGCAGGACGTGCGCCCAACGAGGAGCCAGGCCGGCTGAGACTTGTTCCAGGACGTGCCTGCAAATCACCAATCACATTATCTGTGTCAGCCATTAGGGACACTTCAAAGACTCACCACAGCCGATGTGGGCCTGGCACTGTACATGCGTCCATCGCTAGAGCGGGCGTGTGGACCAACAGCGGGACGTGCTGCGCTGCTGGGACGCGGCTTAAAGGCTGTTTTTATGGATGTGCCTGGTCTTGCGGCCGTTGCTATGCGCTCGAACTCCACTTCCTCATGCACTGAAAGAAATATGTGCAAGTTTATTTAAGGGCTACGGCGAAGGGAGACCAACAGGAGACAGGATATGCAAGAGTCGGTCTTGCTTTTATCCAGTGGCCAAGAAAATAATCCATCTCTCAACAATTATACTTAATTGTGAAATTCTTAATTCTATTAAGAATATAAATTTGCAATATATAGTGGGTTGGGTTTGTTTGCCAGAAGACAAACTTAAAATTAGGTGACAAATCTGTTTGTAGACTGAAATTATATGAAATTATATAAAATTGTATTATTCTGCGTATTCATATAAGGCAGCTGGTACTAAAATTTGGTGTCCCTACCTCTTATAGTCTCTGAGATGAAGGCGATTATACGAACGGCGTTACGGAAAAAACCCCACAGGAGGGAAGTGGGGGGAAAAATTAAAAAAAATAAAGAAACTTGCACAGCGTACACACATAAGGCATCTTTGTGCAAAATTTGGTGTCCCTAGCTCTTATAGCCTCTGAGATCCAGGTGTTCATACGGACGGACGAACAGACGGACAAACAGACAGACATGGCTACTCTGTTGTGTTTAAGGTTTTAAAATAGCTACGTAGCTCTAAGCACATTCGATCTTATATAGGTTTCACATGTCGGTTATTTCATAGCTTTCAGTTTCTGACAAGTTCCTTTAATTGCGAATGTATTTTAGGTTGCAATGGTTTCCAAGAGGTTCGATTGTATATTTTTGGAAATTTTTGGTATGACTTTTAACGGGAAACTTTGGATTGTCACTGAGAATACTAATCCACAAAAAACAAGAGTTATTCTTATTTTGGGAGCAATGCAATCTTGCTTATATTTTAATTACAAACACAGTTAAATGTAAATACACTTCTAGAAAAATGACTGGAAAAATACTATACTTATATAGTTAAGACGGAAAAAACATTTAAAAGAAGAAATGAAGAGTATTTTTTGGAAATTATAATTATAAACTTCTAGGTTAATAGTTAATGTATTTATTCGTAGGTCATCACAAAACGATTATTTAAGAAGGTTGCCTAGACATTTTTAAGCTTTGACATTATTCATTATCAGTACTAGCCGATTATATGGTTTACAGTAAAGAACAAAGAGCTCGAAAATCTTCAAAAATAGTTAGAAACAATAGAAAGCAATGTTTATTGGATGGTGAGATAGATCAATCCCACTCGATAAGAATCGAGCTATTATTTAGAACCCTCTACAGAAGTGAGCTCAAACGGGACTGCCTAAATGCGGAAATGAGAGAGAACTACTACAACTTTTACTCATAATTTCCAAAAATATATCCACTAATTCATTATAGGCAAAGGCGTAGGGAGGGGATGGATCTGAGTTGGATTTGTTGTGGTTTTTTCATTGATCATATGCATAAGTTATTTTTTAAATGCATCGTGCATTATTTAATTTACCTCCCCTTTGGTAAAAACTGCCTACGCCCGTGATTATAGGTGTACGTATTTCGAATAGTTTGGCTACAATTTGGGAAAATTAGATCAAAACAAGAGATAAATAATAACATTTCTATACTAGAACGTTCACTCATAATTTTAAAAATCCATTATTGGTCTGCGTATTTGAATAGTTCGGCTACAATCATGGGCGTAGCTCAGGGGGGGGGAGCAAAATTTTGTTGGTCGATCTTTTACTATCAAATTCTTTGCACTATACAAAAAATACATGAAAAATATGGAAAAATAGGAAATAATGAAATTCAAAATAATGAAAATTTGAAAAAAAAAATTTGTAAATAAACTTGCTAAAAAATAATAAGATTCGTGATCGTGGAACTAATATAAAGTTGGTCCCGTGCGACATCGACATTTGAAATTATGTTTTCTTACATAAATGATAAATTTTTATATACTCGTATATACATACGTGTACATACTTTAAAATGATTGTAATCTACTCTTTGCACCTTTGCACCAAATATAGGGCTAGTTAAGAGTTATAAGTTGAGCATATGAACACAATGTTTTCATGCCCATATATATATAGGTATAGGTCAACATTACATCTTCACAGCAAGCTGATAATAGTCTTTTTTTCGTGATTTTTGTAGAATGTGGCACAAATTCAAATTTGTCTGCAAAATTTTTGTTCCGTTCAAAATCTAGGGGGGGGTGGATGACAGCTGCTCGCTTTGCACCCCCCTCGCTACGGCCATGGCTACAATAGTTAAATAATAACATTACTCTACTTTTTTGATTCAATTTTAATTGCAATTAGACTTATCCTTCAGCCCCTGCTTACCCTCATCCATTGCATCGTCCGTCTCCAAGTCGTCGAGGTAGACGCGTTGGGTTAGTGCGCGCATCTTTAATTGCCACACGCCCTCCATGAGCCAAGTGGGCATGATGGACGTTATTTTATGGCTCTCTGCTGCGTCGCTGCCAGCACCAGACCCAGCACCAATGCCAACGCCAACGCCTGCGCCTGCGCCGCGACGTCTGCCCTGTGCCCGAGGGCCAATGCGTTGCAAATTGCTACTGTATCTGTTGGTGTTGTTGTTGTTGCTGCTGCTACTGCCGCCGATTACGCTGCCCTCTTGATTGCCATAGCCATTCCGCTGCTCCTCATCCCGTTGCTGTTGCTGCTGCAGTTCCAGAGCCATTGAGGAGGAGATGGAGGAGGAGGCAGCAAACATTTGAACATTGTTTTCGTGACCGGCCTGCAACAGCGCGTTGCACACCTCGGCACATTTTTCATAACTTCGACGTCGATAGAGGGAGACAGCCCTAAAGTATTGCAGCTCCAATGTCGCCAGTTGGGCCATCGATGCGGCATCGGCTGTGCCCAATGCTGTTGTTGGCCTCGTCGTCATCTTTGAGTTGTTTGTGGCTGCCTTGCTGCCCTGCTGCCTAGCTGGGACACCCAACGACCGTCCTTCGAGTGCGCGCCTGAGTGCCTTCGGTCTTTGGAACCCTTGAAGTCGCTCCCCCCTGGTCGTTCCTTAATTTCAAGTGTTTGAATTCTTGCTGTTCGCGTTTTACTCTTCTCTTCTTGTTGCCTGCGCTCGCTCTCTTGGCTTGTTGGAATTTTAAAACCGGATGCGTATCATTCTTTGCTCGCCCCGCTTCGTCCCGCAACAGCTTTCAGATTTTGTTTTCCTTCTTCTTTAGTTGCTTCCTGCGGTTTTTGTGGTTGCTGTAGTTGTTGTGGCTTAATGGCATTTATTTGACTTGGCCTCGCCAGCTTCTTCTAATTTTTCTATGCCTATAATTTGTAGCTCTTGGAATTTAATTTGTATGAGTCCTTCAGGTTTCGTTCCTTTTGTTTTGGCCTTTCCGGTTGCCATGACGCCCAACAACAATACCAACAACCATAATAACAACAACAATAATGTGGCCGCTTTCTGTTGCCAACTCATCTAATGGCCAAGCTCTTCATACCTGGGCCATGTAAATTTCTAAGTAGACCCGCAGAGCTCTCCCCCCCGTCCCTACATCCATGCCATCAGCGGCCCGCATTTGTTTGCACGGGTCTATCGTTAATTTTGTGTCAAAATTTCAAAAGCAAATAACGTTCAGCGTTTTGCAATGTTGAACTCAATTAGCAGCGACAACAAAGTGAAGACAAGAACGAAAAAAAAAAACAAAAAGTGTTGAATAAATCACACTTTCGAAAGTCGAAGATTCAATACACTTTACGCTTCTCCTATCGATTTATTACTTGATTGAAGTATAAACAACAAGTAGGCAATAAAATGATAAATGCTTTTAATTAGAGGATTAGTACCACTACAGATATTTGTATGAAAACTGCAGCTATATTATTACTAATTAGTATTAACAAATCAAAACAACTTATTTAGGTTAGGTGCTTGGTGTGCAAATCGCAGAGAAAAGCTGAAATATTTATATTAAATTTGTAATTTCTATTATAATTTTTTAGAAAACAAGTCAATAATGCCATGTCCTACTAGACTATGTACTGATCGCCGTTTCAGATTTCAAGTTCAAATGAATTGGTATAATACAAATATTCTAATTTATAGAATTAGGCTCGATCAAATCTACTTTGATTTGGTATATCTGAAAAGAGAGTATAATGTTAATGTATTTCATTATACTTACAACAAATAGTAAAGTATTCCATGATCTAAAGATATTATATTTGAAAATCTTTAATAAGAATTGTTGAAGTCTTTAAGATTGAAAAGCTTCAATAAGAATCATTGAAGTCTTTAAGATTGAAAAATCCATAAACTTTGAAGACATTTTTGCCCCATTGTAGACAATTATATCTATGTCTTATAAGTTTTTAATATTAAATCGGAATGTGGGGTAGTATTACAATTTGTTTATTGAGCGACTAAATAATAATTTTTATTTACTATTTTCGGAGATGAACAGAATGCCGAGATAAATACCATCTCTAAAACTCAGTAGCCAAGTCGAGATTAAAAAAAAACAAGTAAATTGATTGAAAAACAACTAAAAAGGAGTCTCTAATGGAATCTGCGTCTACACTACAGTCGAAAGATATATTTTTTGTCTTTCGAGTCCCCTTTTTTAAGCATGCATGTTCATGATTTCAATATATTGGTCGAAACCACAACATCTTTTGTGCGAATATTGCCGGTTTACGAGTATAGATATTTTAAAGTCGAAAATATAGATAAGTAGTTAGAAGATTTTGAACTTTTTTAACATTTCGTCTTTTGACTGTCAATTAAACAGGAGTGCTCAAAAATATATTTATCATATTGCTCAAAATGCAAAGAACTGGAAGCGATAGAAATGGACCAACATTAAAGTATAGAGCGAAATATTTATCTCAAAGCACTTACTATAGACTTATTGGAAAAGGAAGGAAATCGGAGAACAATAAACCGCTCTTCCAACCGATTTCCAACACCCGGCATCACTAAAGGCTAACCTGGTCCATACTAAAGTATAACCTAAAAGTCATATTAGACTGGAGTCTAACCTTCTAGCCCTAACAAGCATTAAACGACAGGTACTTTGCATCTGGCAAGAAAGAGTATACAAGTAAGAAGCATTATACAAGTACATTATGCAAAATTTGACACAGAATCGAGCTCAGTATTAAGTGTTATAGATAACTCTGTTATTGTTGTTGTAAATCAATTGAGATCAAGTGCAGCTGGAAGCTAGTGCTGCTGCTTTAGACTGTAGACTGTAGATTGTAGACGTAGCTAAAATCACCGGCCGGCTATATGTGCGAGTAGGTTCAGTTTGTTGTGTTCAATGATAAGCGTTAAATATTTGTTAATAAATGTTTGGAAATGAAACGAGCAGCAGCAGCAACAACAACAACAAGAACAAGAACAACAACAGCAAGAGCAGAAGCTTAACTCACCGCATTGGTATGCAAAATCTAAATATTTATCGGCCAGACATATATTTGCTTGTTGTCGTCGTTTATTCGTTGGTTGGGCCGTTGGTTCATTGGTTCGTTGGCTCGTTTATTGGTTGGCAGATTATACTATATCATGAATTTACAGCATGTGAAAATAGTCAATAATTTTGCTGCTTTGCTGTTCCATTTGGTCTCCCACGGTTCAACAAATTCAACAAATTTAAATAATCTTCAAAACTATTCGAAACTTTAGCAGGTTTTTGGTTTTGCTCAAGCTTTAAGGCGCCCGCATTAAAAACAAAAAAAAAAAAAAAACACACTCACACACGAAAATTTATGAATACAGATGCGAGATTAGCAAACGATATTTCATTATCTATCTATGATGTGCTTTATGTCTCAGGTCTTCTCTACGGGCTCGAGTCTATCTACTCATGTGGCTTTTCGTTGTTTGCCGCTTTACTGACATTTCCGCTGCAGCCCCGTTTGCCAAAGGTGGTGAGCGTTTTTGCTGTTTCTCAGCTATTTTAGCCAAGTTATAAAATACGTATATCCGTACGTACGAAATACGTATTCGACTTTGCTTATCAGTAGAGCGCAATGCGTCAGCGAAAACGAAAACGACGCCGATAGCTTTGTCTATGGGGCTTGGGTTTTATCATAACGACACAGGAACACACACACACACACACACACACAATACAGAATAATACACCGCACCACACGATTGCCCTCATACTTAAAAATTTTTGCTCATTCTTCAGACATTAATCATACGCCAGGTGAGTCCAGAGAGCTTTGCCAATGACGCAAATTGTAAGACAACATGCATGAATTATAAACACCTCCCATAGAAATGTGAAATTTTTGGGTCTTTCCAAGCATGTGTTATACTCAAAACATATGTAGAGTCGGAAGGTCAGAGACACATAAACAAATTTATTTTCATTTCTCATGTATGCCAATAAAAGTCAGGAATGTAAAGCGTTTTGCCTAAATATAAACGATCGCTAAATGTGTGGCATCATGAAGTTTAAAAGTATTCTAAGTGTATTAAAAAATAGTCTTCTGCTACAAAAATTCGTAGTCGTACTGATCAGATTCTTAGTTCAATAAAACAGAATGGAGCTTTAACGGAAGTATACACATACATAGGTATTAACAATTGGAGGGTCGCCGATAGCCGTATTTATTTATTTATGTCAACAAACATTGACTGTCGACATAGGAAGAAAATACTATATATAAAAATTATAAAAAGCATCGTATAAGCTAGAAAAGCCTAAGAAAGAAAAATCTAATCAAATAACAATAATACCTATTGAGAAGCTCTTCAAATCTAGAAACGACATTGGCAACACATTCGTATTTGCCATAAAGATAGCCTCCGCCAGGCCTTGGCAACTAGAGATTGAGAACATTTGGAAGTGCGGACTCAAAAATACAAAAGTATCAAAAAATATCCCCAGCTTTTATTGAGATGTCAACGTCCCTCAATTTTACAGCAAGATGCAATTTGTTCGTTGCAATATAAAGCTTAACAAGTGCTAATGGCATCCTTTTGAAATTGAAAGTCTTCAGTGTTGGAATGTCAATACTGATTTCAACTGATTACGCTGTTCTAGGACCTATTAAAAATGTAATGTTTTAAGTTTAAAACAATGGAAACCTTTGCAAAGTAGTCATTGTAAGTTAAAGAAGTCAAATAAACATTTATCTGTTAAATATAAAAGTCTCTAAAGTCTCTCACATTTAAATTTCAGACTTGCAAAATATTTTTCCGATCGGTCTTTTGAATTGAACTAATTCTGCATGTCACTAAATTGTTATGTTTCTGAAAACTAGGTGAAAACTAAATAAGAATTGTAGCGTCAGTTTGGAATTTCTTAATTAAAAGAGCAAACGACTTTAGCAATTTTTTATATGATGGGCTATCTATCAATTGTAGAAAACCAATCAGTTATTGCTGGATTGCTTGGGATTTTGGGGTTTTCCATTATATAAAGCTTTACCAGCAATCGGCATATTCGGCATTCCTATTATTGACATTCCAATTTCTTTCTTATCATTTCTGTCTACTTACATGCTGTTGTTGTTGTTTTTGTGGCTATTGTTGACGCCGCTTTCCGTATTTGAACAAGTGTTTGCGGTAATTGAAAATTATGTTACCATAATCCATAATCTTGACTGTTGACTGTTGGCTGTTACTGTCGGCCGTTATACTTATTTGTAATTAGCAAGCAGCTACTTAGAGTGTTGTCGCAGTTAAAAAATTGAAATACTTACATAGAGGAGGGCAACTAGCCGGCTCATTGATAGAGTGAGTGGAATGTCAAACCACAAATAGTCGCTGTCTGAGTGCATTCGCTTGATCGCCTATGGCTGTGGCTGTGGTTGTGGCTGTGGTTGTCGTTGTACTTGTAGCTGTGGTTGTGGCGGTGGCTACGGTGGTTGCAAGCTCTGGCGGCTGCTGCGATATAAACGCTCATTAAAACATAA